GATCATCGCTGAGGATGACCGTCAAGCATATTATATTGGACAACAGCTAAGGGGAGATGGGCAATGGCACAAATCATCGACGACAAATCTCAATATTGTATTCCTTTCTTGCTGGAAAGACTGGAGCTCTATCATGACCAACATGCAAACAACCCAGATCCTCCTCCGTTCTTTGTCGGGCTGAATGGCGTACAGGGAGCGGGGAAAACGGTGCTTGTGAGTGCCAAGTGTTACTCCGACCGGAAACTATAACCAGAAAACTTGATCCGGGAGGCTGCTTTTTTACGTGGGCGGAATTCCGCTTGTCCACTCTATATCCCGCTAATCCCCGCTCTCTAGGTAACAACCCTCCGCTCTACCCTCTCCGCCCCGCCGTACAACCTCCCCACCGTAACCTTCTCCCTTGACGACATTTACCTAACACACGATGAACAATTGCGTCTTGCTGCTTCTTACCCCGGTAACCCACTTCTCCAGCACCGCGGCCAGCCCTCCACTCACGACGTCCCACTTGGCAAACGGGTCTTCGACTCCCTGAAGAAAGGACTGCCTACCAAAATACCAGCATATGACAAGGCCGCTTTCAACGGCCAGGGCGATCGAGTTCCGGAAGATCAGTGGGAGCTTGTCAATGATGTTGCTCAAGGTCAAGAAAGAGTCAAAGTGGTCATTTTCGAAGGCTGGTGCGTGGGGTTTCGGGCCCTGCCGGAAGAAGATGTTCGCGCCGCGTGGGAAGACGCAGTGGAGAAAAAGAACAAGGGAGGATATGACGGGCAATTGGCCAATATCAAACTCGAAGATGTGTTGACGGTGAATGAGGCATTGAAACAGTACGACGCGTTAACAGAGTAGGTCGTTATCGTCAGATGCTTTACTTCAGGGGACTGACGATCTCAAATCAAGTCAACTTGATGCATTCATACATATGTATGTTCCCCCCCGGGTGCCTTCTTCCATCTACGATCTACTAACTTGCTCCAACCGATATCTAGAGATGCTTCAAATATCCACAACGTCTATGACTGGCGTCAGGAGCAAGAACGTACACTCCTCGCCACTAAAGGTACCGGCATGACGCCGGACCAAGTGATCCAATTCGTAAATGGCTGTATGTGGAAAAACGGCCCCCCCTTTACTAGCTCAGCTCATGCTATATAGATTATCCTGCCTACGAGCTCTTCACTAGCCGTGTCCGACGTGGTATATTCAACCCGTCTGGGAGTGTGGGTCTGGGATCCCCGGTGTCACATAGAGGGAGGCAACTTCAGCTCACCATTGATGAACGACGGCGGGTCCAGGATGTCACGAGGATATGAACTTGATGAACCATGGCCTAGGATACATCAGCAGGCACCTTGTTTTACATAGCATTCGAGGCTTTCAGGGGAATGTGTCACTGTACGGAGTAGTTGAAGTTATATTTGCTTCCCCCATAGGGCATAAATTCAGTATAAGGTGGGAGATATGACATATGCAGAATGATACTCCTGGCGAGCACGTATAGGTGATATATGCTAGTGAGCAACAAACAGTTTCGCCCAATATACTACTATGAAAACAAATACCAATAGGGCCAGCTTCAATTGAGAATTTTATACAAACAAAGCGTTGCGATCAATCGCCATTTGTCTTAGCCGACTCCTTCAAGCCAATCCCACGACCACGCACACTACCCCAGGGAGCTGATGCGTTTGACGACGACGAGATCTGCCGGTTATCTCGTCTTTGGGTATTCTCGCGCCACCCAGGAGAGTTTGCCCTCCCAGCTTCCGAAGCCTCGTTTAACTCAATCAAGTCTCCATTTCCCCCAATACCCAAATGATCATGTGGTTGAATTGGCTGCTGAAGTTCGTTGAGTCCAGATTTGGCCTTTGTGGCAACTTTGCGAAACCAGCCTTCGATTGCTCCACCGATATTTTCTAACCCGGTAGTTGATGAGCTAGAATGTAAGGTCGATTCAGAGTCAAAAGATATCCGGTCATTGTATCCATGAAAAGAACCCATTACTGGAGGTGGCTGGGAGGATATAGCTAGATTCGGTAAGTGAGCACTAACAAAAGCGTTGAGTTTATCGGGGGCAGGTCCAGGACCGGTAGCATTACGATCCAGGGTGCCAACACCGCCAGGCCCGAATAATACAATGCTGTGATTACGCTGATGCGATCGGCTCGAAGAAGAAATGTTTGAGGAATTCGTTGTAGACCGGCCGCGACTATGCGGAATAGGGGAATGTGAAAAAGTTCGGTGCGTCTGATTCTTGGACGGGGAGGTGTCAAGGTCAGAGTACGCTTCGGAATGCGCCTGAGATTTTCGACGAGCTCGTGGGAAAAAGCCCAACGTCCTTCTAGCAACGCGACCCAGCTCGACCGGCGAGGAGAATCCGTCAACTTCTACCCAGCTTTCATGTTTCCACAGCGGTGCCTGGCTCGAGTCTTTTCCTGGCTGTGAGGAGAAGAATGGATCGTCGAGTCCACCGCTAGATTCTCCGGCCCTAGAAGCCTGTGTAGAGGATGTATTGGGAACAAGAGAGCTATTATCATTAAGAGAATCATCCGCATCATTGGTATCACGATTCAATTGGTTAGGATTATGATCCACATGAATACGCCGGCCCTTCAAAGTGCACGACGCAACAGGTAGAACCACGATTTTCCTCGATTGTATACTGTCACTGGGCCAAAAGCCATTCGACTTCCTCAAAACGGGAAGAGGACAGCCATAACGTATTGAAACGCCAGTTAGACTATCGGTCGGCTGTACTCGATGTATATAAACCAATGAATCGTCATCATCTTGTTCCACTCGTCGTGCTGGTGATGGGGAGTATTCTAGTGAGGTTCGTCTTTTGTAGTTCCCCTGGCTATCAGGCATAGAATCTCCATTGGCTTGCAACAAGAGCTCTCGCTTCTTTGACTGTATAATGGCTCGTCGGTCCTCCTTTGACCCCGGTGGAGTTTGGGTGACATGAGGCCCAGACGGTCCCCAAGTCGCGGGCAACCCGGCCCGCTTGCGACCTCCGTTTTCAAAATAATCGGATTCCGAAGGCTTTCTTTGCCGGGACCCATTCAATGGAGATCTATTGTTCGCGTGAGCATTGCTGGTGCCCATAACCGCCGACGCAAACCCCTGAAGAGACGACCACGACGTATCCAATAAGTCCGCCGCAAATCCACTACTTTTTCTTCCTGATGAATTTGCCGACCATCCGCTCCGAGTCCGCAGGCCGTTCGAGAACGTCTCAGCACCAGCAAACCCTGACGGTGAACGCGTAAATTGCCTTCGTGGGTTCGGAGACACCGTACGGGAAGAATAAGGCGATGGGGTGGCATTTCTCAAACTCGAAGGTCCAGCCGTCAATGTCCCAGTCGCCCCAGGGGTATAGCCCGCCTGCTGGGAGACCGAACCGGCCCCCAAACCACCCGCCTCATCCGCGCCATCCCCCACAAACGATATCAGTCGGCGATTACGCGGGCGCACAGTCGAAGCAGCCACCGAGGTGGCAGAGGTCGAAGAGGAATTGAACGGGTCCAATGGATTCGCGTCACTGCTCATTCCTTAATGCGAGTCGACGGCGAATCCCCCTTGGGAACCTGTCTCCTTATCCAATTTTATCCAATTGAGGGCGGGCGCGTCGAAGCTCCAAAATGAGAGGATTGAAACCGACACGGGTGAAAATGATGTGCGTTTCTCTTCCTTGCAGACAAGCGTAGATTCGGCATAGGGTAGGCGAGGAAAGGGACGACGTAATCCGATTTTCCAGAGCTCAGCAGCTAGCGGGTCCGTCTATTATGATCGGTTCAGGTCACCCTTCGTTTGAATTATCATTCTAATGAAGCGTTCGATAGTATGGCAATGGCGAATAGATCAGGTAGTTCGCGAAAGAAGGCTAAGGTTCATCTCTGAAAGGACAGGGTAGCATGGACAAGGCGCATAGTGGGATTCGCCGTGCCAAGAGGGCAGGACACTTCGTCATCAACAACAGCGCCGGAGGTCGTTAAAAGGGAGGAGAAAGAGTGTGATCAATGAGTATCTGCTTTCATTCTGCTTCCAGTTGCTGTTCGTTCAGCTCTGGAGTGGCCATCTTGCTCGCTGGGCGACACTTCTATTTTAGGAAACCCGTAATGCTTAGTCATGGAATTGCTTACTTAATATCAGGGGCCGATGCGCAGTTGAAGGGGATTTCAATCTTGTCAAATCGAAAGCTGTGTGAATAGTTTTATTATTATCCAAATGGCCCTGACTAGCATGTTGTACTGCCAATGCAATTGGGTAGTGAAATTCAAACAATGAAGATGGAAGCATTAGAAGCTACTTCAGTGAGGAACGCGTGAAAAACAAGAATTTGCGTAGTTGAAGCCTCTGATCCAGGAGCTAAAAACAGGTCGCTGAATACTCTGCAAATGCAAGGGACAGCACTCCTTGCAGTGATTTCAATCCAACTTCCCTAATACAAACATATCAAGTACCATGGGCGGGAACACCCGTCGTCTGAAAAGGCCCCTAGACAGGGAAATCACAGTACGGATAAAAACCAGCTCACATCTGATCCATCCCCAAACTGTCGAGACCATTAATCCCGAAGAATTGGAACCTAAAGCAACAAGGAAATAGAAATTTAGCAAGTGATAAAAAGCAGACTGAAAGATCTGTAAATATAACGTACCAATCTTCGACATTTAGAGTTGGAGGTACAACGGGCCCCTGGCCTCGGGAACTATTACTCCAATTGTCATCCGGACTCGAGGCATCGAGATGCATGTTTCCATCAAACATCCATGGCTGCGTCATCGGCATACCGGGCTGCAGATGTTGCTGATGGGCCATGCCTCCCATGCCTTGCATTCCTTGCATCATCGTTGGGCTCTCGTGAGGTGCACGCGGTCCTCGCGACGGAAGATGTTGCTGCTGATGCATCCCCATCGGCTGAGAGCCCATTCCAGTGGGCTGCAGGTGCTGGGACATTTGAAGTTGGGGATCGACCGCGGTCCCCGAAGATGGCGAGAAGCCAGTGCCAGATATATTCGTGCCGTCAGGGAATAGCTGGTCTGGTTGGAAGTTTTCCCAAAGGGATTGGGATAAATTAGGTGAGTTCCGGGTGACAAGGAAGAAATCGGGCGGCGTAGTAGGCATAGAAAAGGAAGGGTTGAAAGGCGACGTCGGTCGAGTAGTTCCGGTATGACCTGACGGATTCAAAAGCCCATCCTTGGAGCCCCGGTGCTGGGGATGTGGAGATAACTGGAGCGGCCCTGTGGAAGCAATTTGGGCCGGTTGTATAGAAGGTGTGGCCGCTGGCGTTTGCGGTCGAGACCTCTCGTACGAAACTTGGTGAGCAGGGGGGCCGCTGGGTATTGAAATGTCCAAATCATCAAACTTGCGCTTCGGAGGCTCCGGTTTCTTGGGAGGTGCTGCGGCATCATTTTTTGCTTTTTGTTTATGATGTCGCTTCCCTGCTGCTCTTTGTAGCCGTTCTTCCAGCGCCTTGTTCCCAAGGATCGACTCAAATAGGGTGCAAACCATTTTGGCGACAAGCCAGACTTTTGACACTTCCTTTAAAGCGTTCATGCAGATAGTGATCCTCTCCTGCGTCGTAGATACAACACTTGGAACCGAGGAACGCATCTGATATACATGCATAATAAGGGCGGAAAATAAACTGTATACACTAGGTGGGGTTAGTATGCGATTGATACAACGGGAACCGTAGAGAACACCAACATGAATGCGGGGGTATATCTAAGTTGATCATGAGTTTGTAGGTTTTCCACAATCGATGTAATCATTGCTGCTGCTTGGAAGGCGATAGTGCGCGACGGATAGGCCAATCCATCAGGCGCAGGCTGGTGTACACCAGTAGCCGGGGGCATGTGTGCACGATGCAGCAGGCACAGGGTTGTACTGTAAATGTATGGTTAGCGGATGGATAAGTCTAAAAGGTTGATCTGAGACATACTAATAATGGGAATGAAGGAGAGCCGACCAAAAGTGATGCCGGTTCCGCTCCCAATACACTTCCCTTGGACAATTTTGCAACCAATCCGCCAATGCCATATCGCTATGAGTCAAATCCATTGCATTCGTCCTACGATATTTCGAAGCAACCGAATATTGTTGCGAAAGCACAAGACCCATAATCTCGCACAATTTTACGTACTGCAAGAAAAATTGGACATGAATCGGATCAGGAGGAAATTCGGCCGGAGAATCGGCTTCGTCTTCGATGAAATCGTCTTCCGTGAGCATTTCCACATCGGAGTCGTCAATATTAATGTTCACCGGCCGCCCGAGAGCAACGGCAACGGAGCGATCTCGTGTGAAGAGAGTCCACCAAATTCTTTTCCATAGTCGCTTATCTGCTCTGCTTAGCTGTGACGCTTCAACACTATCTCAATTGTGAGCGCATGGCAAATAAGTTCGAGCGTAAATACGATACTAACCTTCTATGCATGCCGGACCCTTGCGCGACGATTATAGCTACCCGTGTCCAATAGAACACATTTTTCGTGACATCTGCGGACGCGTTAATGCTTCAAGGGTCGCACTTGAGACTGTAAGCCTCACTTACCCTCCGGACCCTCCCAGTACCATCCCATCAGGACCAGTGCCTGGACAATGGTGACCCTGTCATCCTCATAATTAGCGTCAAACAGAGATTTCGCCCGTTTATAGAAAGTTGTGGCAGCTGGCGTCGTCGACCCATTCGCATCCCATCAATTGCGGGGTTTGTACAGACTCTCGAACCAGCGAGGAGAACCGCCTGCAAAAGCAGAATCGAAGGAGGATTCTTGGGGTCACGGTAGCGTTTCATGAAACGGCTCTTGCTTATTATAGGAACGGCGGGGGCAACCCATTTGAAATATGCATCCACCAATTCGTCGCAGAGAGACCGTGGGGGAAGAAGGAAGGCTCCACGCTGATGTAGAATATCAATCTCCAAACTGTCCAGCTCTGTGAGGCGGGCTCTCGAACCCCTGATGTTCTCGGGAAGAGGGTAATGCACAACATCGGTAGTCCCATGACGATCGTGGACTAGGATAGATAGATTCGACGACTCCCCAAGGTACGCTACTCGACCAGCCTCGGTGATTGGCGCCCGGGCAAATTTTGGTTTCATGAATTGGACGTAGGAGTGGTTGTGCTGCGCTTGTTCGGCAGCTTGGGCTTCAGTCAGAGAGGTTGCGGGCATTCCATTGACAGGTTTGCTCCGTGGACCTCCCGAGCCCTCTCTTTGAGAGGCGTTGGGGTTCGTGGAGAAGTTCTCGTCACTACAAAACAGAGAAAACAGCAGGCAGGTTAGCCATGGTCAACACGGGGTAGTTATGATGATTGCATACCCGGTTCCATCCTTGGCCTTTTGATTTTTCTTTCTCTTGGGGGTCGGGATCTTGCATTCGATGGAAAACGCGACACAGTTCGTGCAGGGTACACCAAGACTTGCAGCATCACAGCGTACCTAAACCAACGACAATCAACACTCGTTAGCATCTAGGTAGTAATAGTCGAGCAAGGTTGATATCATGAAAGCAACTGAATGATGGACAAAGGGTAGTTGAGGAGCGGCATGGGAGGCAGAGAACCAGTACTAACCTTCCTCGCATGACATGTCTATGCGCGACACAATAACCTTGTTAGCCGTTTCTATCCATGTGTTGCGTTTGTTTATCATTCCCATCCCAACTGGCATCTCAACACCATGCCATTGTTGGGATGAAAGCGAAGTTGGCGATAAGGCAGACCGAGGTACCGAGGCATAAACACAGGGCCATAGAGCTCGCGTTTGATTGAAGAAACACGAAATGCAGAACATACCTCACAAGCTCGCGACGCACGTTGCCTAGAACATAAATACGACGAGGGTCAGTAAAAATTTTATTAATAAATATCATCTCCAACGCTATCCATCGGGAACGATCGCCTCAACGGCCTGGAATTCACCACAGTGGAATCCCCAATTCCACCCCAGAACCGTTATTCACCCCCTTCCCACGCGATATTTCTTTGACCAGAAGGTTTTCGAACTCACCTTCGAAAGCTAGGATTGCCAGCCGTTGTGGATGATGCAGGAACAGAGCCGGATTTGGAAGCGTCTGCGGACGGTGGAGCGTCGCCATCCATCCTCGATCCAACGTCTGCTTCGGCCGCTGGTGTTACGGTCGAAGGCGCCATAGAATCATCACGGTCTGTCATAGCTTGATCGGAGTCGGCTTTCTGGTCGGCGGCGGTGTGGTTCATGGCGACGGGTAGCGGTTCGCGAGAGCAGAGATCGCCTCCATCCACCGTGCAGGCTCACCGGGCGAGCAAATTTGGACAAGAGGCGGAGGGGTTTGATGTAATTGCGATCGTTAGAGCACTGAAAAAGAAAAACCCCAAAGGACCGGGGCGTAACAGAATGCTGCAGCAGTTGGGCGCGCGAAAGATATGCGAAATTCGACGGTGCTGGGCTTTTGGGAGATGGAGATGGGGTCCTTTTGCAGTGGTTGTGTTCTACGGTGTTCCAAGGTTTTTGGGTAGGTTCTAGTTTAATCCCAATAGCATTCCCCCTGCAGTCATCAACGATCAGCAAAACAAAATAGGAGGCAGCCAAAGCAGAGGCCAGGGATATGTTATTCAGAGGAAGAGAATGCGGAGGAATTGGGATCGGAGGACAACGGACTGTTTGGGGGGGAGAGAGAGTCGAGAAACCCCGATGGTGTGGCGACCTAAATAGTTTAAACAAGGATTCAAGGGTAAAAAAGAGATGAAAACACAACAATATCGTCAACTATATCAAGACGTCTGAGCAGCAAGACAGGCATGTTCGTTTTCGCAAAGAGAACGACCTTTGGAGAAACAGCCTGCCCGCAACATTAACACAGTACCAGGCATCACCTCCGCCGCATGTTTCACCAGGATCGGAAACCCACCCTTCTGTGTCCCAAGGCTCCAGAAGAAAAGACTGAAGGATTCAACCATGGTCACTGCGAACGGGGAATCTGGGCGTTTACTCAATACGATAGAGGCATGGATGCGTCTCTCCCGCGGCGGCTCAAATATGGGGACAAGGATTTGTCCCGACTGTCGAACTCTTAAGCCTGTCCGTTAAGAGGTTGAGCTGTCGTTGGACACACTCCTTTCTTGCAAGACACATCCTTGGGTTGTTCCGTCTCTATGAATGCTGATCTTCCAGCATTTCGTACCACACTCCAGAAACCCGCCTCGCATGGGGTCCATCATCGAGATTTGTGTACGTCTTGGAACTTGATTGCCTAACTCTGGGGGAAACAATCTCTGCACGCAGTTTGATAGCCTACATAATAGAGAACCTGATATATGCCCAAACTGCAGGGATCACTATAACTATATCAGACTATTGCCGACCCAAAAGCGACACCCAATTTCTCCATTCTCTGTTCTCGTGGGCACCAAGCCATTGACCAGCAGAACTCGCTGAGGGTGCATTGGCCAAGCCATGTAACAGTGCGTACGTGCATGGCTCTGCGGCTTGCAACCGACCAATGCTTCGATCTTCTCGCACAGTTTCCCGTGTGAATCGGGAGTTCAAGACATCGACCTCAGCCATGCGCTTTTCCAAACGTGGAACACTGTCGAGGTCGAACTTGCCCATCCCCGGGTGATACCGCCAGGTGAACAATGGAGCAAGACGAAGCCCACAAGCTGGTCGAGATTGTTTTGGTCATTGAGCGAATCTTGAAAAGATGCTTTGCCGGCTTGAAGCCACCGCCAAAACACCATCGAACCCGCCACTCACAGCAGGGAAAATGTAAGCTAGCAATCAGGGGTGAATGCTTGGCCCTTTCACATGCCGAACCGCTGGATCTCGCCTTACAAGTGATGGGGTTATCAAACCTCTGGATATGGCTCTGGAGCCTGGGATCATCATCGTGGAACGAGGGAGCGGTCCAGTTGACTCCAGGTTTTGCGTCTTCTTGTCTGTCCCGAAACATCTGGGATGGCTCTGCCTCTCCCGCGCAATTGGAAACCGGCGATGTTCGTCACATCTGCATGGCCTGCACATCTCCTCCGCATGCTGCACATGGCCAGTTGAAGACCCTGGATGTGGCGCTTCCCCACACCAGGGACGGGAATCGTCCGAGCCAGCCCTAACTTTTCGATCCCAAACTTGCGCCGGACCGTTAAGCCAGTTGTTTGGAGGAACTTTACGTCCAGCTTAGAGTTCCTTTCAGTAGCGAAAAGGCCATGTGCTCATTATTCATTATTCGCTTTCTGTATCATGGAAGAAAGCGGATGATCAAGCTCACCGGCTGCTGTCCTCTCACATGAGTGCGCCCTCTGTACAAAACAATGCCTTGTGGCTCTTCACGTCATCATCAAATAGTATAACTATTGCGGCATAGCAAGCTATTGCTCTTTTCCTTGTGTGCCCACCACTTCAAAACTCATGCATCTTCCATTAAGCCCAAGGCTCATTTGCGTGCAGTCAGCCAATGGCCTTGAACTTGCGGTTTGAGAATTGGAGCTCATTTTGGGGTTTTCTCAACAAGCAAGAAGCACTTCAGCAGTCCTAAAGTCACAGTGAAAATGGTACAAGACCAATCGTGGAAGCAGGCCCAGGAATGGCTAAAACAAAACTCCCTGCATGTTAAATACAGACTCATAACTATATGTTGTCATGTCCGATCTTATTTTTTCCATGTCACATTGAGCTTGGACTTGCTGATTTTTGCTCTTGGGGCCAATTCCACCTCGCCAACTCGGCCGACTTTGCAGTTATTTTTGGCCAACCTGTCTTCCATCGTGAACAAGTTCACTAGTTAACGATTTGTTAACACTCATCCCAGTCTTACCCTTCACTATGGGGGAAAAAGAAGGGCCAACAAAATACCCCGCTACCCAACGCGCCCTTCAGCCCTCGCACAGCTTGGCAGGGACTGTTTTGCAGTCTTCCTCCAAACGATGTCGAAGTGCTGAAGGGAACCACCGCGTCAATCTTCTCGAGAAAGTGACAAGACACAAGCAGCAGACTCGATGGACCCGATTATCTTCACCCCGCGGTTGAAACTTACCCTCGTTACAAAGGCGGAAAGAGGAAGTCCGGAACTCGAATGGCTTCATGAACTGCGCAGCAGTAAAGAGGCCACGTGGTGGAGGTAGGGTGCTCTTTTGTAACTGTCTCGCGCTGTCGAATTCCGGCTGATCTTGTGCCATAGCATTCACGGCCAGTCGAAATCCATCGAGGACACAGAGAGCAACATGAAACACTATCTGCCAGCCGGCGGAGAAGAAAATTCATACAGAGTCGTCTATGTTGTGCACAAAATCCTTGAGCCGTTAGACTCTGCTGCCGAAAACCAGGCACACATTAAAGACCAAAGGGAAAAACCGACAGAAGTGGCTGGCCTGGTGATTTTGAAATCTTTGGATGCGGGCAACCTTGCGATACCAGAAGAATTGACCGTACCGGCTGCGGCGGCGAGTACAACGCTGACGACTGAACTGGGGTACTCATTTTTGCCAACCGGATGGGGCAAAGGGTATGCGACCGAGTCATTAAAGGCAGTGCTCGAGTCTTGCAAGAGGGCGCAATCCTTTTGGGCGCCTTTCTCGAAGGTCTACGTTAGAGCGATTGTGAACGAAGAGAACCCGGCGAGTCTGCGAGTGATGGAGAAGGCTGGAGTGCCAAAAAAGGGTGTTTATGTGGCTGAGGGAGAACCTATTTTCCTTGCTGGAAAATGGCGAGGCATGGCTAATCTTCATATTTATGGCATGTATCTGATTGAGTGACAGAAGGAAGTGGAATATTCAGGAGATGGAGTAAACGGTCACACAAGCCCCCAATTGACCAGGGTTCTTGTTCTAGCTGTGGTACTACTATTCAACACTCTCCTCTTTTTGAAGCAAAAATGTGCCAGTACTCTGATCAGAGGTTCATGTAGTGACTAGGAAATACAAATTAGAACAATGGTGTCTAGGCAAAACAAACTCTGTCATAAGTTATACAACAATCTATGTATCTAATATGCAGTAAGATGCGCAACAGTGGAAGCAAACATCACCTTGGCTCAGAACTACCTATGCAACAAATCTTGGAAAACCCAAGCGCAAACTGCGCTAGCATAACTATATGTTCATATATGAGATACCAGTATTAAAATCCTTCAAGAAGCCGGTCCAAATGCTTAAAATGTAAACCCTGAATCACAGACAAACAAAGCGGCTGTTAATTAGCCACCTTTTTTATACCGTCACCAACGCCATTCTGGACTGAGGCGTGTGTCTCCCCGTTGGAAGTCGTAGGCGCCTTACCGTTTCCCTCTGACGGGACGTACGCAGTCTCTCCGCCGCTGACTTCCTTCTCAAACTCAATACCCGATATAAACACTTCGCTCAAAAACTCCAAGCCGGCCACAAAAACAGACATTCCGCTGGCAATACAAAAGTGACTAATCGTCGTCCCAATGTCAAGCCAGCTACCCTCGTCGCGAACCATGTAGAAGAAGTTTAGCGTCATGACGTCGCTAATCGCCATCACAATCATAAATAGAGCGGACGGAGCAACGCCAAGCCGGTGATTTAGGACGCCCAGATTCGCGCTGATCACAGCGAATGGTATTAAGATCTTGAAAATGAGGAGTGCGGTCTGGGCGAATGGGTTGAAGACGGGGATGAGTCGACAGACGCTTTCGAGGGAAAAGGAGGAGATGGATGCGATGTTGCCGGTGCTGAAGAAGGCAGATTGGAGGAGGAAGAGGAAAAAGAGCGCAATGCGGGCGTCAGAGAGGGTTAAGCTGCGGTAAGCGTTTTTGAAAGTTTGCATCGTGTAGGGTGTCCCGTCACGAGTTCTCGTTTCCTCGTTCGCATCATTTTCAGGGCCGGTAGAGGAGGTGGTCGAACTCAAAGTATGCTCGTATATCCTGTGCTCGAGTCGTACCCATGTAAGGAGTGATACGCAAAAGGTAAAATAAAAGAGCCCTTCGTAAGAGATGGTGAGGATAATGAAGGTTGGAGAGAAAGTAAGGAAGATTATGACTAGCCGATGAAGATAGTGGCTATTGGGATAGAGTCTATGAATCAAAGGCAATAGAAGGGAAGAGACTAAAATCAAAAGGTTGTCAGAAAACGTAGATACATAGGGGAGCGGTGATGGCCTCATACCCATTGCAACCCAACCCATCACCTGGTTTCCTAGTGGCAGGCCTTTTTTCGCCTGTAGAGCCGTAATGCTTGACCTTGTAATAATCATGGTAAGTAGAATCACCCCGAGCTACGTAACTGTTAGCTGGGGATAATAATGTACGAAGTGAATGATTGGCGTACTTGGATACCCATGATAACGCGAGCGGCGTTGGACGAGGATTTTCGGGTCCCATTCTCTGATTGAGTAGTAAGGCTATCCTCAAATACCAAATAAAGGAGTCCCGTCGCAAGCATGAGTGCGCCTCCAGTAGTGCTGAAGTTACTGGTTAGTATGCCATGCACCCAGAGTTTGGCTGTTTGCTACACTTACATCATGTTGGAGTCTTCGGTTTTGAGGACTGGGAGTAGAGTGAAAACACTCAATAACCCGCATCCTACGAACCAAGTCGCTACGAGGAGTTTATTGCGCGATAAAAAGCTGAAGCCATAAAAGACCGGCCAGAAACCCGCAATCAGGTAGCAGGCAGTGTAAATTTCTCGGTGAAAATAGGATTGAACCAAGGCCTGTAGGATTCCGACATATACCACGAGTTGTAAAGCGAGCAGAAAATAACCTGAAAATGACTGAATATGGCTGAAGAGAATCTGCCGCCCAGCGTTGAGCGCTCGTCGTTTGGAAACCACTTCTTCCCAGAAAAACACTGGGAAGATGGCATAAGCATAATACCGCCAGGACGACTTCTGCACCCATAATACAGAGTATAGACCGATCAGGCACGAGGAAAATACCATCATGCTGAGGGTCGTCCGGACGGGTTGGGAGGATTCGTGTAGAACATGAAGATCTATGACGGTGATCAAAGCGTAAGCAATCCATCCTAGATATCCGGCGGTGACAATGGCCCGTAAAAATAGCCAGTCATAAGTTTGCAGGTAGCGGAATCCGCCCAATGCTTCCTCCAGAAGTTCCGAGGAACGAGCAATTGCATCCTCATATTTCTTTCGAGCAATCAACTCCTGTATTGCGGAGATTTGAGCATCTGGCGAACGGTCGGACTCTGCAAACGGCCCATATGGCTGGTACCGCAGCGTGGAAGACCTCTTCTGCTCCTCTTTCACATGATACATTTCGAGCACTCCTTGCACGTTGGCTAGGGCTGCTTTAGCCTTTTCCTTAGGGGTACCATCAATATAATCAAGGGGTAATTTCCCAACAGAGTTGACGGGAAATTCCAAGCCGACCAGATACGCCATGAGGGCAGCTACATCGGCCTGCGCAACGTCATGTCTTTGAACATGATCTAAATTCCAGTCCGAAGAGAAACCATCCTCGTGTCCAGAAGCGGTGCCCCAGTGAGAAGTTTTCGGTCTGGCGACCCCGGAGCCCCAGGCAACGAGCGGCGTACGGGTATTATCCGGGTGCCCATCACCGTGACTGCCCCAATCACTCATGCCATGATCGGCTGTAAAAACAAAAGCGGTTTCATCGTCGCCATAGAAGCCCTCCACCAACTCCGCGATCTCACGCACTCCTTGATCCACAACTTTGATATTATGTAGATATTCCTTCGAGTATGGCCGATGGAAGTGCCCAGAAGTATCCAAACCTAACAGGTGCAGAAAAAATACTACCTTATCCTCTCTCAATCTCGCATTCAACGCCGCATCTTCCCGTGCTCTCGCGAACAGCGCCTTGACTTTATCAAACACCCATATATCCAGTTGCGTCGCATCCTGCGTGAAATCTTCGGCTTCATCTCCATATGTCTCCGCATCAATCCTTCCGGGAACCGCACCCTCCTTAAACATGGGGAGAATATCGGGGCTCCCCCAACTCCAAGTATGCCTGCTGCGATTGAAGACACTGTCGAAATTGACTGGATTTAACTTCCATCCTGTAGTCACCGCCGAAACGTCCTCATACAGCCCCGCAATGAGCGCAACGTGGCCCGGTCTCGACTCCGTTGGAACGCGGGTGTGTGACACGCCGAATGTACCGTGGTGGAGGACGCGCGAACGGATAAACGGGGCAAGTGGCTTCGGCTTGAGGTATTCCTCGTCACAATTGGAAACATCAGGACATGCCTCTGGAGGCGGAGAAGGATCGGGGAAGGACTGGAATGCTTTGTCTGCACGTAGCCCGTCGCCGACGAAGAGGAACAGTCGTTTCGCGGGTGCTTTGGCTCCCGGGTCGCGTTCTACGCCATAGGCGCGCATGCCACTCACAATTGGACTAACGAAATAGATATCGAAGATCGAATAGGTGTAAATCAAATGGAAAACGATAGCCAGGGTCAAGAACCCTACGCGACCAAGACGAGCCATGGCTGGGAGGGAAAGGAGAAGAGGCGAGTTAGCCGACTTGGGGTGCTAGGATCGCATACAGCGAGAGGAAAGGACACCAGACGGGTTTCAGATGGCCCATGAGAAAGGTGTAGAATGAAAGAAAAGTGGAAGAGTCAACTGGCGGTGGTCATCTCCTCGCCCTTTCGTCGCTCTGCTGCTTGACGGAGCTCCAAGAGCGCGAAATTGTTCCTGGCGGACGAGCCCCGGCTCCTGATTGGTTGGTGATGAGTACCTCCTGGTCCGGAGAATTTACGGTGCAGAACAGATTTTATCTACAAATGACAACTTGATTCCACAATATTCGCATATATAGTTAACTAGTCTGATTAGGACTGAGCGAATTATCGATACTGTATGTATGCACACCAAAGGAAAGAAGAAGTCCTAAAAGCCAAGACGTACAACGCCCACCAAAGGTCTATTTGCTATCTGTCCACTTCTTAGTAAGAGTATCCGCGACCCTGCTGTAGAATTTGGACGCGTGTTGCCTGGAAAACGTGATATCCACCGTAAGGTAATCTGGCAGGATTTCAAGGAGGCCCCTGTCACGGTTATCGTCCAACAGCGGCATGTACTGGAACTCCGCTGCTTCAAGATCAGTGGTGACCTTGTTAGCAGAATCGTCAGCTACAGCAAGCTTGAAATGGAGTGCTACAGTTAAGCAATTAGCATGGCAGCGTAAAAAGGCTTCAAGCGGTTAGAACGTGGTCACTTACTGCCATTGAGACCAGTTTGGATGCAGTCGTACAGGTAATCTACATCCCGTTTCTTCACGTCGCGGATGATTAGCCCTGTTAGGTCGCTGTAGAGATCTTCTTTTAGCTGGGCTATCTGCAGTGCTTGTGCTGATTCGGCATTGGCAGCCATAATAGCCCTCGAGGAACTAGGTCCTTTTCCGGTGCTTCCGGGGATCCTTGACTGTTCGCTGTTCGCGGCAGTATTTCGAGCAGCCGTGAGCTTGGCTTGCAACGCTTTGATTTCATTTTGAGCCTTAGATAGGTCGGATGTCATGGCCCCAATCTTGGAGTTGAGGTTAGACACTTCGTTGTCGCGCTCAGCAAGTCGATTCTGAAGCGTCCGCGACTCTTTCGCCAAACCATGTTGGGCAGCGAGTTCATTTTTTAGTGACGTAATAAGCGCATTGGATGCTTTGCGATGTTAGTTTTCCGGGAAGATAGTGATCCGAGAAAGGACATACCGGCAGTCATGCTTTCGCATTGTTTCCGCAGTTTCTCTACATTGGCGCTAGCTTCAACGATGCCGACTTCGCGTAAGCTACGGTATCTTGCCTCAGCACTCTCCAGTTTCTTTGTAGCATCGCCCAGCTTTCGCCTTAGCATGACCTCATTGGATTCATTCCCCGCATCCATTTTACTGATTGTTCTGCGTCTTTGGCTGGGTGTTGTGGGCACTCGCCCAGGAAGGTCACGTAATAAGTTCTTCAAGGGCGAAGAGAGCGCGGGGGGAGATTCATAACTATCGTGTCCGGGCACAGCCGTTTCGTCAATCTCCAATGGAGCTTCTTCCTCTTCCTCTTCCTCTTCTTCCTCGTGTCCATTGACAGGCAGTCCTTCCGGCTCCACGGCCAGAGTTGCTACTGCAGCGGTCGATCGTTTCGCCGTCTGTCTGGGTTTTGCAACCGCTTTGTTTTCCCGCGTACCGGTAGGCGTGTATTCAAATTCTCCATCTTTCACAATCCCCCTTTCAGGGGCTTTTCTTCTTCCACGCCGTGTTACCGGTTTTACCTCCGGCTTTTGCTGCAGCACCGCTGTTGTTGTTTGTGGTGAATCGAGTTCATCTTCGGAAAATCCTTTGGCATCGTCATGAGGCTCTCCGTGCTCCTGTAGGGAATCCGCATTTTCAATCTCCTCATCGGTCTCGACCGATTTCTGTGGTCGCGTCGCTGCTGATCCAGATTTCGCACCGCGCCGCTTAGGTCCTACCACGACTGTAGATCGTGCCTTTCTTTTGGCTGTTTTGACCTCAGTTGTTTTCACCGCAGTAGCCTTTGGTCGACCTCTCAATCGCTTCGCTGGCGGACCAGCCGTGTCAGCGTTGTTGTCGGTGTCACTCAAAAAGCCATCGTTGTTGTCCACGAGTCCCGACAGTTGCGTGGCAGCCTTCCTTTTCGGCATATTGCAAGAGGGTCAGTATCTGATTGTTTGCAATGGCTGTTCTTCCGTCTCGCTTGCTCGCGACTTCAAGATCGAAGTCGCGTCTGTGGCGCAGAGCATGTGACCAGCCAAACCCAGCTCCAGCCACACTAAACTCCATTCAGCCACGGCCCGGGTCGATATCACAAGCCGAGACTTGAAGCTTCTCAACGGCGAAATTCGCGAGCAGATTCGGCATGAGGATGCCTTGAGTTCTCGGGAGAGCATCCACAGTATTATTACCTTGCCTTTTCGCCTGGCGTTTTTCTATTGTTCCTCTGCTCGCTTGCGTTTCGCGTGTCATTATCCCTCCATTGTTCCCCTCCTAATCACTAATTTATCATGGCTTCCGGAAACGTGCGAAGATGGCAGCAGATAATCCAGGAATTAATTCTTATAGCTGGTACAGTATGGAATCACTCCACTATAATGCATTCTCCTATATTCATACATGCTAATCTTCCGATTCAGTCTCTTTCCACGTACTTCGTCGTTCGATTTCTCCTATCGCGACTAGAACTCGACCCTGAGGGTCAAAAGCACGAGGAGGCTAAGAAGAAATCGGCCGCGATATTACGAAGGCTAGACCGTGGTGAAGATTCAGATGACAGTTCATCAAATCGCAAGAAAAACTCTCAAGGCAGCAGAAAGCAAGACCTTGTTCTCACCCAGTATGAGCAGGCTATTGCGATGGATGTCGTGGCGCCAGAGGATATCCCGGTTTCTTTTGAAGATATCGGTGGCCTTGATGATATAATTGAAGAGTTGAAAGAATCGGTCATATATCCGTTGACGATGCCCCATCTCTACCGATCGTCGTCGTCTCTGCTAAGCGCTCCTTCCGGGGTTCTTTTATACGGCCCACCAGGATGTGGTAAGACAATGCTGGCCAAAGCATTGGCTCATGAGAGTGGAGCCTGTTTTATCAATCTTCATATCTCGACTTTAACCGAGAAATGGTACGGGGATTCGAACAAATTGGTCAATGCCGTCTTCTCCTTAGCCCGAAAACTGGAGCCAAGTATTGTGTTCATAGATGAGATCGACGCCGTACTGGGCACTAGAAGGAGTGGGGAGCACGAAGCCAGCGGCATGGTGAAGGCTGAGTTTATGACACACTGGGACGGATTGACTTCGGCGAGCGCGACGGGACAACCGCAGCGCGTTATGATTCTTGGAGCGACAAACAGGATCCAGGACATCGATGAAGCGATTCTGCGACGCATGCCCAAAAAGTTCCCCGTAACCCTTCCGGCAGCCGCCCAGCGACTGAGAATATTGGCTTTGGTTTTGAAGGACACAAAAATCGATAGAGAAAATTTCGATACGCAATTACTCGTCCAGGCTATGGCTGGCATGTCCGGCAGCGATATCAAGGAGGCCTGCCGCGATGCCGCCATGGTCCCCGTTCGTGAACTCATCCGATTCAAAAGAGATACTGGAGGGCTAATGAGCTCAATGAACCCCGACGAGGTACGAGGGCTGAGGACCGATGATTTCTTCAAAAAGGCGGGTGGTGTAAAGCCTGCCAGATCTTTCTCTGGGGCCACACAGCCAACAACTAAGAAGCCACAATCCGAGAAGGAATGGTCTACGGAATCAGAGCCTGATACTGTAGAGACCAAACCTGAGCTCGTTCCGATCGCGGATGGGCCAGATTGAATCGCCAATCAGAAATGTATAGATTTATTCGGCGCATTCAATTTTGGGATGGGATTTGTTGCATATATGACCGGACACTGGGCAAGCATGTATTTCTGTACTAAATATATAATGGCGTTGGGAAGACCAGGTGGGAATACAATGCCGCAAGACTTGGTTAATCACTAGATCTATCCTCAATCTCCACCGCTTATTTCTCTTCAACTTGTGTGTGCCTCGACATCCCATGAAAAGTCAAAGCTGTGTTCTGCAGAAACGTTCTCCTCACAGAACCTTTCCCGTATTACCTAATCCAGCAAACCGCAATGACGCGATTTTTTAGCAGTAGATTAGTAGCCCGCATGGAACTCCGCCGGGAAAAGGCGTCGGTTTGCTCATCTCAGTCTCTTGCATCTGCATTCTTTTTCTGTTTAATTCCATGCCTCCTGAGAAACTTTAGCTATCCAGGAATTCCCTCTTGACTCACTCCAAAGTCAACTTCCCGTCCCAAGTCTGTCATTCAGTTTTGCTTTTGGTTTCGCCCACTCCCGCTTTACAGTCATGTCCAACTCCGAAATCTCTCCCAGCACCAATGGCGACCATTCTCCTGCGGAAAACGTCAGTGTAGTACGGAAAGCATTTTCAAAAGTTGACTTGGCTGGTCACCATCTTCCTCCGTCCCCAGCACCGTCCAGCCCGCGGACCGGACGGCGGTATGCACTTGCGACAGAGCTGGTTTATACAGAGGGGAATGATCAGTATAAAGCCAGCAGTGTACCGATATATCAGGTAAGAAGTCATTCGCTATCGATCTGTTCGAACCATACTGACTTCAATTTTGATAGAGCGCGACCTTCAAACAATCATCCGGCGGTGGTGGCGGTGAGTATGACTATACACGATCTGGAAATCCTACCAGAACGCACCTCGAACGACACTTGGCGAAGATCATGTCTGCACAACGAGCGCTGGTAGTCTCGTCGGGGATGGCTGCACTGGACGTTATCACTCGCTTGTTGAAACCTGGCGATGAAGTCGTCACGGGTGACGACCTGTATGGAGGCACACATCGCCTATTGAAATATTTATCGACCAATGGAGGAATAATAGTACACCATGTCGATACGACAACACCCGAAAGGGTGGCAGATGTCCTTGGACCGAAAACAGCCATGGTTCTGTTGGAAACCCCAACGAACCCTTTAATAAAGATTGTTGATATTGCTCGGATTGCTGCCATGGCGCACGAGGTTAGCCCGAACGCCTTGGTTGCAGTCGACAATACCATGCTTTCTCCTTTACTGCTGAACCCATTGGACCTGGGAGCTGATATCGTCTATGAAAGCGGCACAAAGTATCTCTCAGGTCACCACGATTTGATGGCGGGAGTAATCGCCGTCAATAATTTATCCCTCGGAGAAAGGCTATACTTCCCTATCAACGCATCCGGATGTGGCTTGTCACCGTTTGATTCCTGGCTGCTTCTTCGCGGAGTTAAAACCCTCAAAGTCCGCATGGAGCAACAGCAATCCAACGCTCAACGGATCGCCGAATTCTTAGAAGAACACGGCTTCCGTGTTCGATACCCCGGCCTAAAATCACACCCACAGTATGATCTACACCGATCTATGGCCCGCGGTGCCGGTGCAGTTCTCTCATTTGAAACCGGCGACGTGGCCGTGAGTGAACGTATCGTCGAGAGTGCGAAATTATGGGCGATCAGTGTCAGCTTTGGATGTGTGAATAGCTTGATCAGCATGCCGTGTCGCATGAGTCATGCTAGCATTGACGCGAAGACGAGACAAGAGAGAGCGATGCCAGAGGATTTGATTCGGCTATGTGTTGGCATCGAAGATGTGGATGATCTGATCGATGATCTTCGAAGAGCGGTATGTGAGACGTATGCTTCATACCTATGACATGGCTAACATCTGCTTTTCCCTACAGCTCGTTCAGGCAGGCGCTGTAGATGTGACGCTTGATGGATTTCAAGCTACAGGCGCATATCCTGAAGGACAAAATTCAACAGAGGCAACATCGTGATCTGTATTGCCCACTTTGGCCTGCTCAAGTTTATTTTATTTTTTATTTTTTTTCGTTGACCGCTGGACTGGGGCTCCTGATGGGATATGGCGTTTGGCAATTTGAAACCCATTTGAGAAAGTATTTATTCTTTTTTTTAACGCATAATTTGAACGCCTACCTTGGGAGGGGAGCCGACCGGTCTTATGATGGAATATCTAAAAATATCAGTGTAGAGAAAACTGGTTATGCTGTGCTAAATACGAGCTAAAAGTGGCCTGGAGATCAAGCCATGATCCAGAGGACAAAATTTCACATAATGAAGTGCTTTAAACTATAAAATAAGATGTGTTAGATTCACCATATCATTTGGAAGAATAAAGCACATCTACATAGAATTCTCTCTTCTTCTAGTATGAGTTTTCCGACTCTTTAAATCCACTCAAGGAGAGGCAAGGTACCCCCCAAGTACCATCGACCATTCACAGGGTATACCTGAAAAACGGGCTCAAATCGCCCAAATCTAACAACTCTTGATCGGTATATCGTGCTCTAATCGCATCCTCGCCCTCTTGCGCTAGCAATCTATCACGTTCCTCGTTAATTTTCCGATACACTCGTCTGAGCGCAAGTGCCGTAAAGATAGCAATGACAGCCATTCCCAGTGAAACTCCAAAACCAGTAGGATATTTGGGCTTTTCAGATGCTCGATAAATATTTGAACCAGCAATACCACCCCAATTCCCAATGGAGATGAGCAACGCCATACCTACGGCACGTTTCGACGAAGGGGCAAGATTGTTCCCAATCAGGCACACAATGGATATGAAAGGCGCATAAAGACCGGCGGCAACAACGAAAAGCATGCCATAAGTTAGACCCGGGAACTTGGGATGCGGTATTGCTAACTGAGCGGTAAATCCCAGGGTAGCGATGATGTATCCAGCAACAATGAAGGGCGTGCGCTGTTGATACCGATCAGACAGAAAGGCAAATAATATCGTCACTATCATAGCAAGTACATAGATCGGTATAGTTAGCAGTTGCGCGTGGGCAGCTGTATATCCAAGGTCGGCAATGACTGTAGGGACAGTCGCTGTGAAGCTGGGATTGCCACTAGTGCATTAGCGGTAGGTTCATCCAAGGCATTTTCAGACGAAGCACAAACCCGTAAACACCGATAGTGTTGGCCCAGAAGAGAACGATCGCAGCCCAAATCTTCCATTCCTTGAAAGCTGCGATAATGTGATGCCACTGGATCTTGTCGGAATTGGTAACCTTTCCATGGCCGGATCCAGTTTCCAGCGAGAGCCGATTCACGATAAATTCTTTTTCAGAATTTGTTAGGAATCGAGCCTTTTCAGGACTGTCTGGAAGGATTCGCCAAACAACGGCGGCTAAAGCAACAGGGAGAAGGCCCTCAAGAATAAAAATCCTATGAGACGAAATTCTTAGTTCGAAGCCAAATAACATATCGAGGTGCCCTGAATCGAACACGAACCATCGCCATCCAGCATAGTTACCAACGCCATGCATTTTTTCAATAGCAAAAGCTAGAAGCCCCGAAAATGCACCGGAAAGAGACGCAGCGGCATAAAAGACTGCCATCCGCTGCTGGACTTCATAGCGCTTATACCAGATGGTTAACAAATACGTTGCTGCTGGGAAGAAGCCCGACTGTAAGTGTATACCGAGTTAGACGTGGCCAGAGGAAAGTTCAATATTGAATCTACCGCACCTCTGTAACTCCCAGAAACCATCGCGCTGCGAGCAGGCCTTCATAATTGGATATCACGCCCATCAATCTGCCACTTATATCAGTTTGCCTGAACCGTTGCGAAGATAAAGGGAGAGGCACGTCATCACTGTTCCCCAAGAAAACATCATTATCGCAATCCACACAGAAGGCCGCAATATTTTAAGAACAATATTGCTTGGGACTTCGAAAAGCCCATAGGGAACGAAAAATAGGGTTAACGCTACGTTGTATTGCGAGCCTTGGAGATTGAGGTCCTTCTCCATCCCAGCGATTTTCGCATTGGCAACTAGAAATTGGGTTAGGAATACAGAGAATAACCAAGATAACACCAACTGCTTAAAGATGAGACGCAGGATAACGAAGCACTTACTATTTCCCCGGTCAATGAAAGCTAGGAGATAGAGTACTGCTAACAACGGAACCAAGCGGTAATCGACTTTTCTGAGAATTTGCTTAGCTTCGTCGGGGGTGTAAGCTTCTACAGCTTTACGAATCTCCTCCATGTCTTGACTTTTTGGTTCATCCGTTATTGTCGTCAGATCATGGCCACACTTCTTTTCATTTTGAGGGTTTTCAATCTGGCAATCCTCCGGCTTCGAATCGGGGGATGGGTTGAGGATGGAATTCATCGATACTAGGAACAAGCGCGACGTTTGAACAGTGTCTTGCAGAAATTATCAACTGACTGCTTTGGAGACATCGGCTCAAGCGATATTATCATTCCAGTAAATGGAAAACGCCAGTCATCCCACGAGAACCGCGAATTGTTGTCTAGAATGGGCGATCAACTCGCCAGCACGAGGTCTGCAATTCTCGTGTAACATTGAGTTGAATTGTCAACCCCGACTCCCCGAGTCACTGTGAAAAGATATCATTTTGAAAGCACGAAACGCGAGCGTAGATCAGTGGATTTACCACCAATTGTAGCTGTGTAAAAGCAGCCAAGTGCAGTTAGGATCTGCTACCATAGTGGGTTTTCAAGTCATTTTTCTAACAGTCTGGTCAGTAGTATTTATCGGTTTTCAGGATCGGCGCATCAAATCACTATGAGGTATTTGAGTACCAGGGCGTTTTGCCGCGGCAACTTGACAAAGTAACTGCCCCATGGGGAAGCGGGGATCCGATAGTAAAGTTGGGAAAGCTGGATATATTTCGATTGAGCCCCAGTTCTGCGGTAACTAGGTGGAGGCCAGGTCAGTATAAGTTGAACGGTATTATGCCCTGTCCATAACGGCTGTCCAGTGGCCGCCCTGTGGGCAGAACCAATATTGACAGCTTTCTTCCAATAGCCCTATAAAACGGCAGCACGTCTCAAAGAGAGTCAAGCCTACTGCGCAATGTTTCTATCATGATCCAATATCAAAAGAACAGCTCAAGACTCGAATTGGCAACCTTGTATGAGATGCGGACGACATAATTAGTAAAGCGCCTATGATTGGTGCTGACTAAGCCCGAGTTCAGCAGCAAAAATTCGAAAATGATGTCAGTTTCGGGTTGAGAATCGCAACAGTAACTGTGACAATTTCGAAGCAATCGCATTCACTCTTTCTGCTGTGTTGATTCGATATTGGCTTGTAGCCTCTGTATATAGTCGGAGGTTGCAGCCGACCTTGCTTTCTTTCCCTGATGGTTTAGCCTCTTTTCGGCACATTTTATGAAAGCCTTTGTCCGTTTCTATCTTATGTATTCCCGCACCTTTAGACGGATACTCTAGATCCTTGTCGTAAATAACTATCAAAAAATGTCGGGTGACGACAATCTCTCGTCCGACTCCCCCAAGCCAACTGCTGGCAGCGTGGTGAGGCGTGACGGGAACAGTTTGCTTGAACCTCACATCCACCCGCCCCGGGTCCCTGTTCCACATTCACATGTTGCCCCGGATATATTGGCGTCGACGTCAAAGCCATGGAATACAAATAGCTTAGGTACAAGGCTGGTACTGGATGCTGCCAGTGCTGCGACTTCCGCTGCCCTAATATGCCCTATTGTTACAATCATAGACCGGTATGCATCCCCTCCAATGAAGCTCCTCCCCAAGTCAGGTCCCCAGAGCGTACTAGAAGATTGACATTGAAATTCCAACAGTGCCATAATAGAGAAAGCCGCCAAGGGGCTCGATATTAGCCGGAGTTTGACCTCATCCCTAAAAGGACTAATAACCCGTCCGCATCATTTTCTCGTGTCGACGCCATTTTTACTGATATACACACTCTATTCTTGCACCTATCTGACGGCGAATGTCATTGATACAGTCGTTTCCACTACCGAAGACAAGGCATTCAGCCATGTTTCGGCCGGCCCGGTGAAATTTGTTTCAACTGCGTTTGTCAATATGTCGATCTGCATATACAAGGACTCTCGATTCGCAAAGATATTTGGGGCGCAAAACCAGCCGCCCCAAGGGTCAGCCCCATCAGCAGCTAGGAGCTCCCAGATAACATGCCATCCTACGAGCAAGATCGCACCAGCTCCGAAAATTCCAAAAGTTTCTCTTGGTTTGTTTGGTCTTCGTGACAGCCTTACTATCTTCGCGTCATTCAATGTACCACAGCTCATTTCTCCCCACATTCCGGATTTCCTCGCTTCGACGCCGTCGTCGAAAACGGCACTCGCCCAATTCACGATTCCCGCGACCGTCCAAATTTTCAGCACACCTCTCCATCTGCTGGGATTGGACTTGTACAACCGTCAGCCTCCCGGGGGCCTACCAGCCACAGATCGGTGGACGCGCGTGAAACGGGACTGGATACCTAGCTGTATTGCGAGAATAGGAAGGATCTTACCGGCTTATGGTGTTGGCGGAGTTGTCAACACCAAATTGAGAGCAAACCTAATGCGCTCACTCGAAACACCATCATACGAGAAGGATACATTATAGCCGGGAGGCCACAGGCTATCATTTGGATTATCCGTACTCCGTACCTACGACTTGACGAGTAATGCCGTCTTTCTTCGCCTATTCTTCCAATTTTTACAGTGAGGTTTTGTCGCCGTTCGAACTATGGCATCTCAGACCATTATTGGTGTCAAAAGTACAGAAGTTGTTAGAATTTCGATACCCCAAACAGCGTTTTTGGTTTCAATAGAGAGTTTGAACGTGATATATACAGATGTCCTTGTTTGCCGGTTGTTATATCTTTTATAGAGCGTTGCTAGAGTTTGCTTTTATGTGCCTACAAAAGCTGGGAAACCTATACAGTTGCCGCTTCTTGCTTTATCTCCTATTGTGCTTTCAGCTTTAGGCCAATCTTACAGTTTGTTTCAAGATTTCAATCAATATTATTTAGCAATCCCTTTCCTTTGGCTTCCACCATTTCAACCCTGCTTTCCTTTCCCCATTGTTGGCCTTGCTCTTTATCCGAGCAAGTTCATTTTTATTACCTCCATCCCCGCCATCGACCTCTGCCACCGCGCCCTTTTCCTTCGCACAAAGCCTCTTACGAAACGCACTACATCTTGATCGAATAGCTCGAAAATCCCGCGCGGCGCGGCGGACATTTTCACCCATACGCCCTAGACGCTCCACTTCTAGGGATAAGTTTGACTCTGAGACTGCAAGCTGCTTGCGGATTTGCGCCATCAGTCTCTGCTGGTTGGCGATGCTGGCTTCTATTTCGGGTATTTTCGATTGGGGCTTTGATTTTGGAGAAGGATGGGCATTGGCTGTTTGCTGCGCGGGAGGTTGTTCTTTTGCCATTGTTCCCTGTTCTCTTGGGGATTGGCTGGTTCTGGGTGTCATTAAGGATGGTGTTCCTTGCGGTTTACCGCAGTATAGAGTGCTCATTAGTGAAAAAGACTTCTGATGATTTGAGCTTTCTTGTAGATATGTGGTTGGCATGACCATCAGCAGAGTATATGCTCCTCATGCTGAAAGGAAGTCGCTTAACACAAGAAATCAAAAAACGATTGGTCGCCCTTATTGTACAATAGAGCCGGAGTTTGCAACTATGTAGGTGCCATAACCAGAAGAGACTCTTGAGCGCGGGATGCGATGTTTAAAGAGATTCCCTTATATTCTCATATAACCTATCAAATACACTCGCTTGGAGAGGTGAAAGTATGCATTGGAACATATAGTTGGAAGAGAGGGGTTGGAAGAAGCATGCCAACATAACAAAATGCCACAAGATGCGGAATGAAAATGATGCTGGAACAAAAGAGCACAAGGCTCCATGGCAAATCAAGAGAGAGACGCAAGGTAGGAAAGGAGAAGGGAAAAAAGGGATATTGTGACTCTGGGCACAATGCGAAGGGCAGTTAGGGAATAAAGTGGTAGCAAGGAATAAGGAACTCTGTGCTCCATCAGCGAGGCTTTTGTTTACTGATCAACATAGCGACGGTTTATTCATCTTTCATATTATCCAGTAGGGCTTGTCTTTCAGCTCGTCTCCGTTCGCGTTCTTCTCTCCGGCGCTGTCGTCTCTCTTCAAAGGATTCGATAGCTTTCGAAACTTTGCTTCCCGCTATTTCACTTTTGGGAACTGCATGAGGGCCTTCAAGTACAAGAAAGCCTTTTCTGAAAGTCCATGAAACTGCTTCTTCAACTGGCTTATCGAAAACGTATGGTAGGAAAGGGACAATGGATAAGCCGAGCTACCAATAGGTGAGATTCTAAACTGTATCAAAGAGCAATTGTGGGTTCGCCATAGGGCTACAAAGCTTACCCCGATAGGTGCCCAGGTTCTCAAAAATGCACCTTTAGCCCCCTTCAATGCCCTTCCGGAGTATTTCACGACCGAATGGATGGTAAGTGCCGGTAAACCCATACTAGCAAGAGCTTGGAATACGGCTCTCTCAGCCATAATTGACCTATAATCTTCACTCAATGGAATTTTCCTTGTCGGCCATGGTGTCAACGTGTCGGCTTCCGGATCATGCCAGGGCATCGGGTGACGGTTAGCGGTAGATTCGTTAGATTTCAATGATTGCTGATGTTGCCGCAGGCCTTCCTTTGCAATCACATGCGTATCTACATCCGAGCTGGCGCCCTTAGCTACGGCACTACGATACGCATCGTCTTGGGGCGCGAGTAAACGGCGGTTCCGCACATATGCCTTGTATCCTTCGTTGGCGACGTCGCCGAGGATATAAGCCCAAGAAACGCCGTAAGCACTTCGCACAAGCCACGGATGCGCTACAGGCCGAAAGGACTCGCCAATGTCGGAAGTGTATGCGACATAACGGTGGGCAGAAAGAAGGAGGGTCTTGATGCGTGTGGCATAGGCGGCGTACCGATAAGATGTATCGATGGAATCTGCGGAGCTGCCAGACGGATATTCGTCAGATATTGCTTGTCCCTGAGTGGTAACTGGGGAGGTAGACAGGCAGAAAGAGCAGGGCCTTGCGAGTAAGCTTGGGTTCAATGTATTCATACCGGCCTTCATAGAGCTGATCAAGAAACTCTTCTTCCTGATTGATTAGCCTCTGCAATTCTGGATTCAACCTCCGCCGTCGAAGTGACTGCTCCACAGTGTCGTCAACAGGCTCGTCTTTCTTGCGATCCCAGAGCATGGCTGGGGCAAGCTCAGGTAGCTTAGAGGGTGATATCAAACAAGCAGAAGATGGACGATTGAGAAGCACTGAGATGAACCAAAACAGCTAGATTTTGGTGGAAGCAAAGGACGGAGGCGAAACTGATGAAGCACGCGACCGGGAGAGGTTGCGGAAGAGCTTCGATGATGTTTATTAGCCGGCTGTTGACATCAGACCACCCATCTGAACAAGAAGTACATTAACAGAAAGTTACCAGCATCCAGAGGGATGAGAAACGTTGCCAATCTATTACTTTTATCCGTGAGTACCCATCGTCACTGCTGCTGCTGCGTACAGCCACACCCAAGCACGCGAGAACCCACAGGATAATTGTTTTATCCCGGACTTCCCCTGGGCGCATCACGGGCTTCAGTCCTCGGGAGCGATGCCCGGAGGATGTAACCGCGACAAAAGCCGGCCAATCACAGCAATTCAGCACCCCGCATTATGTAATAATGCAATACTGCACGCTGATTGGCTATCACTTTAGCTTCGTTGAGTTCGACTAACCTAACTCTATCTAGACTAGCGGTTTATTTGTAGTTTGCTGTCACGTGAGGCCTAGTTGTGGACGTCGTGGGAACTGCGGTTTCGACGTGAACTTGTCGACCGCTTGAGAGCTTCAATTGCGACAGGATAAGAAACCAAATTTGGTCCCGAGACCTTTCTTTAACCCGTTCTCTACCTCGCGATCCCCCCGTCTCTATCACAATGGTTGTCTACTATCAAGTTGCGGGCCGCAAAGTCGGCTCCCATGTTGTACGTCTACCTTTTCCCATGCGGGTCAATTGCGGCATCTGGGCAATGTTTTCGTCGAAATGACGTTGCTGTGAATATTGTCGCTAATGAAATGGCGATAGCTCGCAATGGCTACCCTTGGCACAACTTTCCTCGGTGCTTATCTCGCCATGCCATCGAGCCCAAAGAAGGAACAAGGCCCTCCGATCAAAGCGAGCAGCAAGGATGAGGAGCAATTTATCCAGTATGTTATGGACAGCTGTCTTATCAATTCACCCCTTTAAGCATCCCACGAAGACGTTGCTCCGCTGCACTAGATTTCCGCAGCTAAAGACTAATTCTTCTCCATCAGGGACTTCTTGAAGAACGTAGAGGCCGAAGAAAAGAAGACGAAACCGCAGTGATCGAATTCGCTATCGCCTATCACTTTCTAGCCCCTGGATCCTTGCGCCGTTCCTTTAGCATCAATGCGATACCGAATGTTTGGGTATCGAATGTTGAGGACTTTATATGTCTTGAGTCTCGCGTGGGGAAAAACGGAGGTGCCTAACATGTACAGATATTTGGAAAATATAGACACCGAATGACATGATAGATTTTGTTATGCCGTGACGTTCACTCTACAATTGGGTCTGCATGGATGTCGCCGGCAAGGGCGAATTACTTTTATCCGACCGCGCCGCGACCATCCCATACCGGTAGCAATACAAAATCCGCTTCTTTTTTTTGTCATCATTGTGAACCAGTTTTGGATGCATCGTAGATGCCACTACATTCGAGTGCTTGACAAGATTTCGCGCTAACGGGTTTATAGATCGTTTTGCTACAGATACAGACATGCCGAGTTTTTGAATAAGTTCTTAGATTCATAAACTCATCCAAGACATGAGCCGTTGCAATATCAAACTTCAAGATACATCGCACATCATGGATGCAATTCCAGACTTTCTGTTGGATTAGTTGGCCTCCCCACTCTGACCTTTGCCATCTTTGCCTTTAAATCCATGATGATACTAAAAAGCGATGCCACTTTGCTTTCGTCTGTAGGCGCACGACAAATGGCAGTTGGATACCCGTCTTCATCCTTTAGGATCCTGTCAATGCTCTCAAAACCTGGCTCCGAACCGGACGACCCCACCAGGCATCGAACCCGATCCAATCGGGGTATACTATCCTCTAAATGTGGTTTCGTATTGGCGCCGACGTGTTTACGCACGAAATGGTTGGAATGGGTGATGACCCCGGGACATGGTTCGCCTTCGTCCCCCATGTTCAGCGCGATCATATCATAGGCAGAACACTCGAGCCCTGTTCCACCAGTTGGATCCGCAACGAGGATGTGGCATGCAGAGGCGACGCCAAATTTCTGTAGCTTCTCGACAGCCTCAGCGCGAGAGGCGCTATTCAGTGCGGTGCGAAGAGCCAGGTGACATGGGATTTTATCAAAAGATACGCCTGCGGATTTAATAGCGTTCAGGGTGACACCCACCCCGTGGGAGTTCAAGCCAATCTTGCCGATAATCCCACCTTCCGTGATCATATGGATGGCTGGCTTCGAGGGTTCGGAGGGCCGGATATGCATTGCTATCAGATTGGGAGACTGAGTATTATCCCACTTTGACAGGTATTAGTTCCTGCTTTGTGTATCGGGTTTTTAAAAACCTCTGTGGAGATAGAAGACTACTTGCATCCCAATTTTGAGCCAGGAAACTTCCTGCATCTGACTTCCACGAGAATGCGGTGCAGCCGTCGTTGAACATTCCATACGCCAATTCCGTTCGAACATTGAGCGCCAGGATGGAATCAACACCCACACCAGCTCCCTGGGCAATGCCTACTAGGTGTAAGTCATATCATTTGGAAACATGTTTGGATTCGGTTTTTTTTTTTTTTTTGCCAACCATTGATCTCCTGCAGATATTCCGGAAACGACGCTTCCAGCAGCGGAACAAACTTCACCGCTGTTTTGCACACTTCCTCCCAATTCATCGAACAGTCCCTCTTGAAGAGACCCTTGTAGAACTCCATACTGCCATGGATTTCGGTCCGTGCTTGCTCCCCATGCTGAAGGCCAATCTAGTACGAGTTCATAAGCCATGCAGCTAAACATTGGAGGTACCTGGTTTTGAAAGCAGTGCATACCTCGTACGAAGTGCCTTGGCAAGTTATCGAACGCATCATGCGGACTGAATACCGTCTCGTGGTGGAAAAATTACAATATAGTGTCCTATTTAAATTGATTGAAGTAGTTGAGAACCACCAACGAACTTTGGTATGCGATGCCTGTCTGAAACCAGAGAAAGGAAACATTAAGAGAAGTAATCCATCAATGGGAATCATGAATATAAAAGCCTTGATCACCAACTAGATATGCGGTGTTTCCCCGCGTCGGTGCTGAGCTGATAGTATCAAAGTTTGTGGCAAGATGCCGACTGCCGAGTTGAAAAGCAACAAAGCAAGTTTGATCGGATTGTTGGACCAATCTAAGGTGAAGAGTGGATATAGTCACTGCAGACGAAGTAAATTAATAAGAAGTTTGTGGTCAAAGACATTGATTGTCACTTCATTGTCATTGAGAAAGATAACAGATGCGAAACTTGGGGAGCAATTTGAGTAGAGTAAACCTGGCATCAAAACGTTGAAAATGAATCCTATAAGGAAAAAGGCGAGGAATACAAACCCCATTCCCTGAGTCGGAGAATCCCATTTCCCATCCCTCAACGAGGCTCTGCTATAAGACGAAAGGGGTTTAAGTAATGGGCGGATCAACGGAAGCTATCCGCGACTTCGAAATCAAAATCCAGTAACCCCAGCCATTCCGTAAACAAACCTCATGCAAGATATAAAATAGTTTTTGAACCATAAAGACAGTGTTGAAAGAAACCATCAAGTACGGAGGATCTCATGCGAACCATCCATAAATGCCGAATGGCCGAGCTCGGCAGTTAGCTCGCAATGAGCTAACTATTCTTGGCAGCTTATGTCATCATATTAGTGACCGTTCAAGTTGATTCTTTGACCACCGACGATAGATGCTTTTGACCATACGTTGAACCATGGGGAGCGGCCGATGGTAGGGCACTCCTGGACGCCCATCACAACGACGCCAAATGAAGGTCGCTCCATTTCCTTTCGGCCTGAATGTTGGCACCGATATCGTCCACATCCCCCGAATCCTCCGCTTGGTGACTCGATCATCCACCGCCCCAAATAGCTATCTCAACAGATTCATCCGGCGCATTTTATCCGAGCAAGAACAGGCTGTTTTTATTTCTAAATTCCCGCAATACCAGTCCCATTACGCCCGGTCAGCAGCGGCTCCGTCAAGTATACCCGCTCCGCCCGATTCGAGAGATATGGCTAGGTGGCTTGCAGGCCGATTCGCTGCAAAGGAAGCAGCAAGGAAGGCTGCACCCGGCGGCGCGGCAAGTGTCAGTTGGAAAGAAGCTATCGTTATAAATGAGGCTGGAGGGAACGGAAAGCCGGAGGTGGTGTATCTGAAGAAGGGAGATGAAGTCGGCCAAGCTGGCAAGCTGTCCATCTCGCATGATGGGGAGTATGTTGTTGCAACGGTCATTGCGGCAATCCCCAATAGTTGAAAGAAAGATGGGCCAAAAAGACCTTTACGAAGAATCGTACTCCGTATATGCCTTTCTTTCTTCGGGATAATGTCAGTTTAAATCGACAGCCCGGTTTTGCCGCCCACGGCTCGATATATAAAGCGCATATCTAGATGGCCATTTATAAATCGTCCTAGAAGTGGTCGGTTTTACCAGTGACTTGGAAGCACGGGTATCGACTCTAAACAGCAGCCTCCGGTTCAAATAAACGGACTCGTATTCGGATACTCGTTTTCGTTCTGGATGGCCAGGTAGCAAGGTTCTTAGGCCTCAATAATCAGTATCCTTCCGCTTGGAAGAGGTTGATCAATCGTGGAGTTATTCGCCTAGACTTGTCGATAAATGACTTGCCAACCCTTGTGCTCCAGTAATTGCTCGGCAGCCCTTATCTGCGTGGGGCTCAGACGCTGCTGCGAGTTGGAGAGATATTCTGCTGGTCGAAGGAGACGGCTAAACAGATGGTAAATAGTAGATACCCTTTAGGTATAAAGTACTCCATAATACTGACATTTGTTAGCCAACATTGGTACTGCTTAGCTATTAGTAGGTTCTAGGGTACCGCATCTCTTACTCCACTCTACTCAGTCAAGTTGAATAATCCATTCCAGTTCAAACCTCTTGTGTATCTTGCATCTTGCTTTGCAGAAGCTGGGGGAGCAATGCTGGGCGGTGGGAGAGGTTCCAAGGTGTGGTAACTAATTAGTTGTGATGTGATGATATCTGGTTGCTCCTGGCATCAAAAATATTTATATATATTTTAATTGATTTAATTTGATTTCACTTTATAGGACACCGACCAAAGACATCACTGGCCTACGGAGTACAGACTAAGCTTTCAGAACGTGAGGTGAAGCTGTTCAATCACAGCCAAATCCTCCACCATGTGGCCTTTGCATTGTAGAAGCCAAAACCGGCGCAATCTCTGAGGTCCAAGGCCAGTGGCGCCCTTGGTTGGCGTACTGGGACAAGATGGGGACTGTGGCCTGCTAGACTGTTCTTTATTAATTATCCTGTGAAGCCGACAATCCAGGTTTGGCTGGGCATGAATGCACATCATTCTGAATCCGATGCTGAAGTAGAATCCCGGCCGAGGGCTAACTAGGGATAACCAACTATCACGTGAAATAAAAGAAAGTATCCAAAGATCCATATCGAGCAATCGTCCATAAGTAGCCTTATATGTTCGACAGATAGGTCAGACAGCTGGGTTGTCAAGAACACCTCAGGACGGATATAACTACTGACTGAGCAAATATGCCCTTTTCCCACCACAGTCATTCCGGGCAGTTTTGCCCCGGCCACGCAGTCGACTCTCTGGAAGGGGTTATCCAAACGGCAATTCAAAAGGGAATGAGAGTATTCTGTCTCACGGAGCATATGCCCAGGGACAGTGAAGATCTGTACCCGGATGAGGTGCGTCGCCTGAATCAGGATCCGACAATACCAATATGGTTTTTTATGCCTCATGTCTAACTATTGACCAGCCCAAAACAAACACTCTCGAGGTCATGTGGGAGAATGAGGCTGCATATTTCAAAGAAGCTACCCGGCTACGAGAGAAATATCAGTCTCAGATCAACATTCCAATCGGGTTCGAGTGTGATTGGATTCGGCCTTCGTCGTTGGACTTGATTGAGACATCTTTGAACAACCACCCTTTTGACTTTTTCATGGGCTCTGTTCATCATGTTCACACGATCCCAATCGACTTTGACAAGGAATTTTATAGAAAAGCAAGAAAGGTAGCAGGCGGGACAGACGAACAACTTTTCGAAGACTACTTCGATAGCCAATATAAGCTACTAACGGCTCTAAAACCTCCGGTTATTGGGCACTTTGATCTCATCCGCCTCATGAGCGACGATCCAAACCGGAGCTTTAAGCAATGGCCCCAAGTTTGGGAAAAAATTCTGAGGAACCTTGATTTCATCGCCGAATATGGCGGGATTTTGGAGCTCAACTCTGCCAGTCTGCGCAAGGGAATGAGCGAGCCATACCCAAAAGCCGAAATCTGCAAAGTAAGCAGGCTCGCTTTCGTCAGGCAATTCATTGGGCATCGTTCCCTCTAACACTGTTCTCCAGGAGTTCCTCGCTAGAAACGGCCGGTTCTGTCTGTCAGACGATAGCCATGGGATACATCATGTGGCATTGAATTACAAACGAGTTCTTGATTTCCTCGACGTTGCTGGTATAACCACAATCCATTACCTGAGCTACGAGCCCGATTCAGCAGCTCCAGTGTTCGACTCCCGCTTCCCCCACTTGAAGGTTAATTCGATAGGCGTTGAAGATTTAAAAAATGAACAGTTCTGGAATTTATGTGCCTAAAGAACGACAGAGGCCTGCGCTATCACAAAAAAGAATTTATTCGGAGGCTAATATAAAAATTGGGCCTACGGCGGATGGCGTTGGTTGATATTCGGCATTTATACATTGTTAGACATAGAAATATTCGCAGCATATGCCCTGTTAATCAACCACATAATTGACGAGTAACAAGAGGCAAATCTATCCTTATCAATGATCGAGCAATCCATAGCCAGGGTTAGAATGATTCGATTGTTCGTATAGAGTACTGTTCACGTAGTTGCGGCCACGGAATCGAAATTAATTCCACGGACATTCGCGTCTCATCAAGACAATAATTCCAGAGCCAGCAGTAGCTACGTGCAACAAGCTTCAGGATTCCATCCTCAGCCATGGCGGCCCCAAGAGTGTCCAGGGGAACAAGATTGCTCCCAACCTATTTCCAAAAGAAATCCTCAATGCTACGAATAAAAGGCGCCAACCTCTTCCAAGCCTACTTCTCCCCCGAAAACCTCATTCCCTACGTCGGCGCCCGATACATCAGCGACTTCGATAACCCCATCCGCCCAAAGGTCTTCGACATGTATCAGAATCGCGAGCGAGGCATTTTATGGTGGACCGTTGCGGCTGGCCACATGGTCAATATGAAGCGTGTGGTGCGCTCGTGGTGCGCCAGGCGGGTCAGGATAGCTTTCAGGGCCGCGCTGAAGGAGAGTGGGTATGATTCGGAGGGAAGGAAATATATCCTTGGTGCATGTGGGAATGGCAATCCATTGTCGAAGGAGAAGGCGTTGATGGGCACGCTGGAGGTGCGCATGTGCACGGCACTGTTGAAAGCGAAGCCCGAAGCGCTTACGGAGCAGATCAAGTTGCTGATTCGAGCTGTGGAAGATAACCAGGTGGGGAGGGACAATGGGCAAGAGGTTCGACGGGCCGCGCCGGCGAGAATGAAGTCAAAGTCGAAGATACGGACGTGAATGGCTTTGAATGTGTACAGGACCTTACAATTACAGCTGCCCAAGTGTCCCGATGGAAACGAGGCAGTATAACCTTTTAACTTGGCCTACTTGGGCAGCGAGGAGGAAACTGGATCTCCGGATGGGTGGAAGCGTCACCTACTTGGTGAGCACAGCCTCTGATTCTATGCGAGTGAACTGGCGACCCCCAGCCCACTCAACAAAATCGGGGGATAGCAGCCCCTCATTCTACCGAGATGGAAGATGGATGATCTTGATAGATATCGACACACAAGAAAGACTACAGCGGGGAGAGTTGTGCTGCATTCATGTTCTAAAGGATCATGATTCTTTCACTAAATAGCTGATAAACAACATTGACGAGTGAACATCTTATCTTCAAGTAGGCAGTCCTGTACCCGGTATGTGCGATTTTGGTATTCAGCAGCTTGCTAGTAAGTACCTTCAGGGATATTCATGGGGTTTCATCATCCCATGTTTTCATGTTATAGAGGATCTCAGAGGTCGTACAATCAATATAGAGGATCTCAGAGGTCGTACAATCAACAGAAGCAAGCTGGCGCATCACTGCGACTCGTCGTGGAGAGCAGGGGGGACCGCCACGCATGCCTTCCCGTGCGCACGGTAGCGAGAGCATTTCCCAAAAATGGCTGGGAGTGAACAAATGGTCGTGCGATCCTGCACCAGATATTTAATGAATACTGACAGTCAACTCTGAAGCTGGAGAATGTGCGTATTCTAAAACTGCCATGACTTTGAGAGATTCATTTGAAACTGCAAAATCATTTGAGATCTGTGCGAGCTTTGTTTTCTTGAGGAGCCACCTCAGATTGACACCTGAGCCCAAATCTGTTTGGAATAAGTAGAGACAGGATAACATTGACTGGGTGAACCAGTTGCAATGCTGAGAGCCACAATATATCCCCATCTGTTTCAAGACAATGAAAAGACTCAGGCAATAGCATATATTGGTGCAAGATTTTGTAAGACTGGGCTCTCTCTTTCAGCTGTTTTGACAGCTGAAAGGGCTCTTCTCTGCAGAAGATAGCTTCTTGAGTCAACCCTTCCTGCCTTTGTTGGAGTCTTGGAGGCTGCAAACCTTCTTGCAAAGAGTATCAGTCATTCTCTGACATCTTAGAAGTCATCTATAATAGATATCCTCAAGTTAGCTATTTCATATTCCACAATGTACTCTGTATACTAAAAGTCAATCATTTTGCCAAGGGATAGTATCACTAACAAAATGCTCCTCAACCATCCTGTCTCAAGGAGAACATAAATATACCAGGCCGATACCATTGGTAGATATTCCAAACACGTCCGCCATTTTGGAGTGAATGTTCCCGATGTGCTAGGGATGCAACTCATCATGATGTGAACCATCAAGAAGAAGGTCTTGAGAAGCTGGTCAGTCAGGCAGCAGAATGGCTCAATAGAAAGAAACACACCTGGGTTCCCTATGTTTTCCTTCTCCTGCTTTGTCTCCCCTGCCTTCCCCCTCTCTTTACTCGTTTCTTGCACTTTTCAGGTATTCTCCGCGTTAAATAGCTCCCGATTTTATTATAAGGAATTGATTCGAATTCGCCGAATCGGTAGCGTTACGGTGCTCTCCAGTATTGCCTAACTCGTTAGACAACCCGGAAAAAGGCACAAGCTATGGAAAGCTATTAAGTCGCTAATCTATTGCGACAATATTTCCGGATTGCACCCCTGAGGGTTGATTGGAACATGGTAGCTGATATTTTGCCCATAGACGGTGGCACCACCACCAATTAGTCTAGTTAGAGAGCATTGACGGCTCTCTGGTATATATTTTCCCCAATATTGTTAGCTTGTATCCGACTTTTTAGTTTGTTTAGGGTCCATGATGCAACAGTTATAGGCACATGGGTGCTGCAACTTTCATGTTGGTTTACCACAGGGAACCATAGAGAATAGCGTTCCAGGCAATGGCCGATTTGTCGAGTATCCCATAGCAGGTGGAAGCAATGTATACTTCATTTTTCTGTCCAATTCTAGCAAGTCAAGTCTGAGACTAAAGAAGTGTGTTCAAGTTCTGTGGTAGCTCTGCAATCATCATATGATTGCAGCCTGAGAGCTGTAAATTGATTTCAAACCTGCCAACCTGATGAGTGGAAATGATGACTTGCAATGTTCCATTGATGTTGTTGAAATCTGTCATCTTTTAAACCCGGACGGGGGGTCTTTATAGAAATAGGCCGTAATTATCAATATTGTCGAAACTGGCCGTCCGGGCCGACTGTGTCTTCAGAAATATCCAGTGAATCTAAAGTCCATGAGCGGCAGGATAACGTTGTAAACGGGCCATGGAGTTATAGAATAGCCGCGCCATGTATCGCTCGCCGCCCGTGGTGATATGACAGTGGGCATTGACTTCCACATTGAGCATTGTTGCAATTCCAGTCACTTGATGGTGCAAAAGGGTATTAACGAGTTTAGGAAGAGTGCCATAAATGCTGTGATGGCAAGCTCGAGACCCGCACGGCTTCATGTTGTTGCGCTGAGGTATATAATTCGGCTCAGAGATTCACACGGCTTGATTTTGCCCAGTGATTGATTCCTTTAGCCAGAACCGCCGGTAGGCGAAATCTTTCCGATGCTGTTTGATTTAGCAATAAATAGAGCTGTATATGCGTTTCCCCAAAAGTGAGAACATTGAAGTATGGTAGACGTAAAGACAGTTATGGGACCCGACAAATGCCCCAATCAAGTCGACTCCAGGCCACTCATCAATCTCCATGCCAGCCGCTGGCTTAGGTTATTCACCAGGATATATATATAGAGTCGTGTCTCTTCCGAAAATTCCCATTGCATCTGAGCGTTGGGATGAGTGTTTGCGCTATGTTAATTGGAGTCTATGGCACAATTATAAAGATTGATATTGAAAGGTTCAGTTGAAGCAGTGGAGAACAAATGCCTTGATTTCCCCTGACTTGATTGCCACAACATAAGTGACTCGCCTCCGAGGACACAGCGATAAAAGCGGTTTCGAAATGTAGGAGGCGATTAGGTCTGCTTTTGAGGCAGCAAAGCAGTATGATACTCTAACACACCTTGCGCCATGCAACTTAGTATTCGTTTTCTCAAATATCTATATTTGAACCACTTCATGTTTAATGCTGGTGCAAGAGGCATTAGTATACATCATGGTGGAGAGCGGCGAACATACTAGTTGTAGACTCACTGGTTGTAATCAGGGACACTGTTTCTGTGACCCCAGTTTGCCAGCTCTAACAATCAAAATTTTTGGCAAAAAAGCCATAGCATTTGAGGATGTATTTAGTTTGCTGTTTAAAAAGGACCACCTCATCCAGATTATGGGGTGGATATGTGTTTGGCCAGGTTGCGGACTTATTGCCATAAAGTCATTGCATTCTGATAAATAGTATTTGACCTGTGGTCATTGTTAACAGAGTGGAAGTAGAGAAAGAGAGAGGAAGGAAAAAGGCTCAGGAGATGAGGGCTTTTATAGCTGAAAGTGAGAGCTCTCTCACGTGGCTGTGACTTGTGAGAGCATTCAGCTTCATATCACCAGCTGCTTTCACTTAAGTGATGATTGATTCTAAACTTTTCGGCAAATTCATTAGCACTCTCTTCACCATGTAGCGTTGGGGTGAGAAAGTAGCCCGATACACAAGCATCTCATGATTTTGTAAAAGCCCATGTTTACAGGCACCATGGCAAACCTATGATGTGCCATCCAGCCGCAAACGGGGGACCTTTGTCCATCGAAATATCAGTGCCCATATTCGCCATACATATTCATCGGCATCCTGGCTATGTTCAATTTTGAATGATTCCATTCATTTAGATGAACATTCCAAAATATCACACTCTCTTGACAATATATGCATGACTTACTGGTTCCAACTATTTTGCTCGAGGCTGAATATAGCTTTCCTTTAAATCACAACAACTGAGAGTGTGCCAGTGTGGCCAGTGCATGGGCCCTAGGACACTTAAAACATATTTTGAGCTCTGTTGTCAATTCAGGCTCTGGGATTGCTGGTGAACTACCAGGACGATTCCTACCCCTGGGGTATGTCACCCACTTAAGTTGACAGCGATCTAGGATCGAAGCACCAGTGCACCTATGCACGGCAATGGCTTCATCAACAAATAGCAGAAAGCCCAGTCTTGCCATTCGGCCAATATCGGTATAATTGCAGAAGATAAATCAAGCCACTGCGGTATCGGCGCAATTACCTGGTTGGAAAACTAGCGAACCATATCCCTAGACCGTGATAAGGCATTTTTACCTTGTACACAATGACAAGTGGAACACCAGGAGGTGCTAAAAAGGGGCACCTTGAGCGGCAGGGGGTTGACACACCTCCTTACCTGGAGATGTTCTCTAAAATGGCGTGCCCGTCCCTTTCCTTCATCGTACTCGGTTTAACAAGGATCTGCAGCCGGTCATCAGGGGTCGGTTAGCCACAGGCTGGCCTTTTATAACGGCTGAGGAAGTGTCGGTGTAGGGCATGGAAGCCAGGCACTGCCTTGGCAGCAGCAGAAGGAAGCTCCCTTTTTGTGACTCGCCAATCTTGTGACAAATGCTACTGTGTGCTTGATCTCACAAAACTGTGTCAATAATATATGCGGCCATGTCAAACGTAGAGTTGACTTAGGAGGCTACCCCGAGAAAACATATTGGGCGGTCTAGGAATCCCTGTTGAAGAATTCGCGAGGCCGGGCAAGGAGCTGAGATAGTTACGTCGACACAGAAGCGATGATAAACCTGGAGACCTCGATGCATATCCAGCCTTGCTATGATATGGAGGACATAGGGTGAAATGCAGTGCCCAGCCAAGACGCCCTTCAATCTCAATGCAAACTTGAGCGAGAAGAAACAAAAAGCGAATCCATTTTGTGTTGAATTCGACTGTATCAATACCGCATTTGCGAAAGAAGTTCTACCCTGTCTTCAGGGCTATGGTTTTGGAAAGATGGGATTTGGGGGCCGTCGCTTCGCCAAACATACAGCCGTGTCAGTTTGCATGCCCTAGGGTAGGGTTGTTGAAGACGCGAGTTTGCGAATCCTCAACACCGTCACAAAGGAAGCTTGGTGGAATCAAAAGTTTGCTTCCAAGGGCGGCAGTGTTGTGTGAATCGTGAGAGCCTGATGCTGGGCACAGATAGGTGGAGGATCAAGGAGCCTGAGCGAGCAATAGAAATGCCTGCTCAGATCTCTTCCAAAGCTCCTCGACTGTGGCACAGATACCTTCTCGATATGTAACGAAGGGAATATGGCAACTACGGGAAACACTCTTGCATAACGGCGTACGTAAGACGGATCTGAAATTCGAGCCGAAACGGAATATGCAAGGTGAGCAAAAATGTGAACATCGTAGATACATCCAAAACGTAGCGCGGTCTGGCTTGCTGGCTTTTTCTCCCTAGCCAAACAAACGTTTGAGGACGACAGCACCAACCTCTGGAAGGGTTACTCGATCGACTCAGTCGAGGCAGCTTTGTATGTACGAGTTGTAGCGACGGACGTGGACGTCGGGGATGAGAACAGGCCGCAATCCGAACAGTTGAGCAGGACGCGTCTAGATGCGTGACCACGGGCATGAAATTTGTCGACTGACTGACAGGAGGCGTCAAACTGCCCGTAGCTTGCAGCTCCTGATGCGTTGTTTCTTCCGTATCCGCTGCCACACCTGGGTCTTCCCCATCGCTATGGGTTAGGGACGTTCATCCGACCGAATTGGGCTTGTCTGTTGCTTATTTTTTTTTCCCCTTCCGTTTCTTCAATTCCCGCACGGAAGATCGGGCAGTCGGGTATAGTTTTGAGATCGGTCCAAACCCATTTGAGCCGCCGATAGCAAGCAAAACAACAAAAGAGGAATGGGGAAAGCCCAAGCCTGCAAGCCAAGTGTTCGAATATCGACGTGCATGAAGAAAGGTATCTTGTCTGTGCCGCTGACTAGTGCTCCCTGTCAATTGATTGCTCGATAATCGCCGAATTCCGGGGCCCAGTTGAGATGGAAACAGTTGGCTACCAAAGCTCGCTGGTGAGGGCGTTGCGCCGAGTTGGGTGCATGAGCCAGCCTCCAGGGGTCAGACGAAAAATGAAGAAACAGCCGTGTGATACGAGAACCAGGTGCAGGATTTCACTCTTGAGATCGCTGGAGTTTGGTATGCATGAGCTTTAGTTAGTTACTGGTTGATTAACGAGTGAACGCTCACGAAAAAAGAAAGAATCAGCATGTCCGTGGAACGAGTTGGATGTTTCGAAAATCCATCTCACATAGCCTTGCAGGACGCTGTCTAGATGAATTGATTCAACTGAAGGCCTGAGCATGGGTGTGTTATACAGGGCTGCCCCTACTGCATTGTAGCCACCCCTTCACACTAGCTGCAATTCTGATCTGAAGCCATAATATCCCATATTAGCTGATTGAAATTGCTTGAGCGCCCAGAGCATCCACTCCTGATTGCTTAGCTTGATGTCAGTTGTCCCGCATGCCTCCAAGGCTGTCTGCAAGATCCAGGAATCACCGCTAAACAGAATTGCGTTTGCTGAGTGGGCAGTCGAGCGTGGTCCCGATCAATTCGACAATATCGAGATACAGGCTGCCGTCCTTTTGTGTTCGCTGTCTCGAGGTTCGTGCGCATGGTCCTCTTGTCGTGGCGAGAGACGAGGACGACCAGAGACGAGAGACCGCGACCTCAGATCCAGAACGGGCCTTGTTAGGGCCTAGGTCTTAGGTTTAGGGCTCACGCTTAGGGTTGGCTCGGGTCTAGACTGCTTAGCTCAGCAGCGAGGGGCACAACACCAGCTCGCCCGCGGCCAACGACATCCCAGAGCAAACCACACTCGACGGCGACGGCATGAGCAGCCAGAAGTGGAAAATGCAGGGATCGCTAGCGAGCTCACCTCAGTGTCTGCAAAAGATCCCGCCGCGGAGCTGTCGACTGCATACCCTAGATCCAGGCCTGTGTAGGAGGGTTGAAACGCTCAGCGCCCATCTCTTGACGAGGCAATGCAAGGCACCAAGGAGGGCGGGCGAGCATGAAGCCAAATTTAGAGCTGGGGATGGCATATCTCTCCCGCAGGTTTCCGATTGACCTGACGTTTGAAAAAAAAATGCGAGAAGTGACAGAGTCAGACTTCGGGGACAACGATGGCCAGGGTTTGTGGTGTACCTTTGACATGTTAAGCATCAAAGCCCCTCAGCAGTGTCTAAGACACGAATGCAACGACGGGGATCACCGCGAATTGTTCAACGCGAAAGAGAGGCAGAGGCAGCATCCAACAAGTACCGGGTACACCCAAAGTCTAGCTGGATTGCTCTATCCAAACATGTCGCTGCGGCAGGGCAAATCTTCTGGAGTAGGGATAGATCGTAAACGCATGCGAGGTGATCAGGAAGGCCATTCGACCTCTGCAGGATATGGTTATCTTTTTCCGGAGACGGAATCCATCATGGAGGTCCGTTTCAGCCATGTCAATGCTCTTGTCTTCGGCCAATTCACTTGTCTTAAATTGCTGAACGAATAATCGTTGAAGGGGGACGGATCTAGCCTTGACAAACCGAAGTTCCTGTTACATCTCCGGTGGAGTGACACTGTTCTTCGCCAGGGAGGAGAGAGATCAATGAAAACGAAATGCACAGCTGTCGCCCCCATGATCTCCCGACAACAGTCAAATTAAGAGGAAGAGATCCGTGGGACAACTCAACCGAGCCAAACTCTGAACTCTGGATCTCAGTTTGTCTAGAGTGATCCAACCAACCGTGAGGGTGTTCTAGATTCCAGGATGCTGATCCACACACACACACACCACACTGTTCATCGCCATGGATGGTCGACACTAACGACAGGGCCCAAGCTGGCCTCAGAACCCCATGTTGGCCTGTGACCTGCAAGCCCGTCCCTTGTGGCCACTCGATCTTCTGCACGTCTCGCACCCAAATCCCGCTTCATTGGGAAAACCTAGCAGGTTGCTTTTTCTCCTGCCTGCGCGGCTTGCTCGACAATTCAGTCTTGTCCCCGACTCTTCCCTTCCAATTGGCTCCAGCTGACAGGAGTTTTTAGCTTTGTATGCCTCGGGTTCAGGCGGCCCATCTCGAATCCGGGGGTAGCAGAGACAAGCATGGGCTTGTGAGGGCGAAGAGAAAAGAAATGTGAGCGCTTGAATTTGTTTCTTCCAACGCGATACCCGCAGCAATGTTCTTTTTGTTCACTTCCCTCCACTCCTGGCTGTCGATTATCTTTCTGTCAAGGGCTGACGGGGAATCCAACTGGTGGGTTCTCTCATTTTTTTAAATTTTTTTTTTTGACGTTCTGCCTGCGCATCCACCCGCTTCCACAAGCCCACATCGCTGCTCCGACACGCAACGGCAACAGCAACGATGTTTTGGACACTAACCTAAGTCCTTTCCCCGATTCCCCTTATCTTCAACCCCCTCTCTGTCCAGGGTTCGTCATTTGCCAATCCTTGAAGCGGAACCGGCCACCCATGGCTCTCTTGAGCCTGACTAGATCCAAGTATAAAGTGATCCAGTCCTCTGAGAGGTTGCTACGTTGAAGACGGCCAGTTTACCCGGCACCCGTTATTTTTTTTTTTTTTTATTCCATCCCCATCTTCTCTTTTTTTGCCAAAAAGGCGCATAACGGTAAAAAGAAAAAACGACAAACAGAATCTCGAGGGACAAAATAATTTAAAAAGAAGAAAACAACCCTCTGTGCATGCATGATGTGGCATGGCCTCCACATTCTGATTCAAATTCAAGCCGCTCCATTCGCGATTTTGTGATCTCCCGCCCTCCAACGTTCTTCCAATCGTCGAGTTGACGACTTGCTCTAGTACTCAAAGGTCAGATCAGATCTTCATTCCCTCTACCACTTTTGATTTGCCTTTCCTCTGGCCTTTGTCCTGCCGGCCCATATCTTGAATCGGCCTATTATTCCCTTGTCCGACAAAAAAGGAAAACAACTCAAACGCCCGTGGTTGCTTCTACATCGGCAGCATTTTTCAATTGCCTCTTGCTCCAGGCCGAAGTCCACACGACGCACACACTGCCGCCATCATCCACTCGCGCTCGCCTTCGCCTTCTCTCCCTCCACTTCTAGTCCAGGCCCCACCTCACTCTCGGGTGCGGAAAGGCAAACAGAGCATCATCAACCAAATAAATTATCTATAAAAGAGACGTAGAAGAACCGTGGTTTCTGCTCTCTCTCCCTCTTTTTTCCGTCAGCGTGACGACATTCTGATATAATAATATTATCCCTTTTTGCATCGTCTTCGTTCTTGTTTATTTTTTTGGGGGTTGTTTCCTTGGAAAACACAATCGCTTCAGAGACCCTTTGTTGATAATTTTTTATCCTTCTGCCAATCGCTCACTCGATCTTCTATCTCAATTTAGATCGTGTTTTGTCCTCACGCGACCTTGTCGATATAGCAGCTGCCTACTCAAAAATAAGATACTCATTTCGCCCGACTACTCGACGTCTCGCAACCATGGGCGTTACAAAGAAGATCATCAAGCACGGCAACGGTGTTGATAAACCTGCCAAAGGCGATAACATCGTCATGAAATATCGGGGGTGCCTCTACGACCCTAACAAGGCCTCCGAGAACTACATGGGCACGCAGTGAGTGTACTTCCCCAGACTACCTCTAGCCGCGTGCCAGTCCATCGTTCAATACCTGCCTGGTCACAAGGACATGCATAATTTATTTTTTCCTGGAGCTGACCGTCGATCTTCTCCATCTAGATTCGATTCGACGGAACATCGTGGCGAATTCAAAATCAAAATCGGAATTGGTGCAGTTATCCGCGGTATGTTGAACCCAACTCATTCTAAAGATTCTCGGCTCTAGCAATTTACTCAAGGCTATGCGCTTCGTTTGGAAGAAAAAAAGAGTCGCTAATCTGTTCCCAATTTGCTTGTAGGCTGGGACGAGGCCGTCCCCGAGATGACCCTTGGCGAAAAGAGTATATTGACCATCACTGAGTAAGTCTTCCTACTTCGGCCTTGACGCCAATATCTAGCCTAACGACTTTGAGCAGCGACTATGCATACGGTTCACGGTACGTTCAATTAGGACTTCTTTTTCCTTTTTCTTCTTCAACCGTTTTCCTGCACGAATCCTGGTACGCCGTTGGTGACACGGACCCGGCCACAACGTCATCCAAAGCGCTCTTGCCTCTGATCTAGCAAAGCGTTGCATAGAAGAGCAAAGGGAAGATACAACGACAGTCGCAGCATCAACCGGCTTTTTTATACTCCCAACTGTTTTGACTTGCTTCCAAGACTCGACATAGCTAACTTGGCATCCAAATAATCCAGTGGCTTCCCGGGATTGATCCCTCCAGGCGCAACACTTGTTTTGTGAGTTTCACCCTGCCATTCTTTTTAGCCCGGTTCATTGTTTCTGTTGGTAATAGTTGTCATCACCAACCTGATCATGTGCGCGGTTTGCGAACTGAAGGCTGACCATGTTTAAACCTTGATATAGCGATGTTGAACTCACAGGCATCAACGGCAAACGAGCATGAGGCAAAGAACAGCTTCGCCACACGGCGACACCCCATGGCTAAATCGGCCTCTATGCATCAGTTTCACTATTTTATTTCCTCTCCCAGGTCGTGGTGTTTCTCGGCTAAAAGAAAAATCAATTTGATTGCTTCATTTTATGCGCTTTTACGACACCATTCATCGACGGCCTGTTCTCTTCATTGACATCTCCTGGTAGTTATGGATCTTATTCCAGATGCTATCTTTCGCATCGGCATCTGTTTCTATTTTTATGAGCTCCCCTTGTTTCCGCCTTTTGACCGCTGGATTTGCGTGGGTTTCTTTCAAGACAGATCTCCTTTGATAAGTGTTAATTCTAATTAATGGCATTATGATTTTTTTTTTTCTTTTTTCTTCTACTTATATTCTGTCCTTCAGCTCTGTTAGCTTGATTCAATTCAATCTCAAGTTGAAATGATTGTTTCACGTAAAGACAAACAAATCCTTTATAACCCATCAATGGCAAAGTTTGAAAGTTCCTTCCGCACAGCAGCGGTGTACACATGTCCGTTTGTTGCGAGATGCAGAATAGGTGCTGTGCCTCCATTATATCGAAAACATGGGAAACAGAGAGATGGCAGTGCATCTGACCCCCACCCGGGGATTTTCGGTCTATGGCTATTCTTGCGATCTTGCATACTCTCGAGTCCGAAAACGTACGTACATACATGCTGGATATCAACCCGCTGGTTGATAATTATAAACCTCTCTGGTGTCTACGTCTACTCTTTTGGGCTGGTGGTGCGACCTACATATGTTATTTACATGGATCCAGGAGATAATAAAATATACCTCGAAACGACGGACATCTCATACATAATTACAGACGTAAAACACATGAGAAACTACAATGATCCAATACGTGGGTGAGAGATACAAGGAGACCACAGTCTGTATGTACTCGATAGGAAAGGCGGGATTGAAAAAAACCATTATTGTAAAGGAGAGAGACATGAAGTCGAGAATGACTGAGCGTGTACCTGATACAATACAGAGTCATCAAATGAGAGATAAGAGAGCGTAGGTTAGGAAAGGGGAATATGCACTGCGGCAAGGATCTGCCATGCTGCGAGCATGTAGCCGGCGGCGATGTAGTAGATGAATTGAGAAGAGGAAAAGAAGAATATGAGGGATATTTATTAAAAACATATATGTTGGGTTTAAAAAAGAAGGTATTTTAAAACCTGACGCCGAAGTCAGACGACATAAGGAAATAGGGTAGTTAGGCAAGGCCAGAGGGGTTTGCCGCTAGACAAAAAGGATGTATTGGTAAGGAAGGAAGGGATGGAGTAATGTATGTGCGCCTCCATGTGAGAAATTGCCTGGATTAAACATATCGGTGATATTTGCTTGCCTCGAGGGGTACCCAACAGGAACACGGTGTCCTTCTTTTTCCAAAAAGCGTCGAATGTCCGATTCTGCGTTCACGTCGAGCACGGACCCGTGGGATTTACACTTCTAATCCAGTCCGCCCGATACAAGCACCTATTGAGAGGAGACGCGCGGGAAAGGCCGTTTTCTGGGGCAAGATAGACATTCCCGCACTCGAGTAAGGGTGGATCTTCAAACTGGAATTGAAGTGGTGATTAAAAGTTGGTAAATGACTTTGTTCATAGTAAGAAAAGAAAATGACCGAAAGCAAAACCCAAAGTCCTTTTCTTGCACTTAGAGCCAACATGTCCTTTTCGAAATAACAGTTAGGCATTGGAAGGTGTAGCAATCCAGACTTAATAAGGGAAATAAAGAAATAATGGCACTAAATGTCCTGGTCGGGCAGTGAAAAAATAGTACAGAGGTTGGGACCCAGTTATGCTTGCCTAGAAATTTCCTGAAATCCAGCAAGATCCGAGGATGCATGGATATCAAGTCTTCCACGTTGCTCAATAAATAGCCATGAACATTGCGAAATGGCGGAAAGATGTTTTGAGTTAGGTAGGTGAAATGGCGAAGCTAGGAGCACCAAGTACTTCGCCATTCACACTTGATCATGCCCACAAGGAACTGGAATTCATCAAGCACTTCGAAAATGTCATGCCATCGTTAAGCAGGTGGCCATCTGCTTCCAACTTCGCTTGATATTGAGGAGGCGATCAGTTCCAACCGAGGGAGTTTTCTGCCATTACAGGCGGACTAATTGTCTGCGTTCTTGCACTAGTTCCGCCACCACTGTTTCGCTGGGAGCTTCCGTAGCCGTCGCTTCTAGCGCCGCTCATAAACGGCTCACCTTCCCGTGCACGTTGGCCAATTAAACTCTCCTCATTCTGGGATCGGCGTCGTCTTCTATACCGGCGAGCGACGAAGAACATAGCCGCACCGTAGAGGGAAGCACCTCCAACGACACCTAAACCAATGCCCACAGACGTCGCGCGAACGTTGTAATTACCTCCTGATCCTCCTGGACCAGGCCCAGCTTCCGGCTCACCATTGTTACCGCCATTTCCTGGGTTGTTCGGGTTATTCTGTCCTGGATTGTTTGGCACTTGGTTGTTTGGAAGACCGCCGGTGAGTGGAATGGTAGGGTCTAGCATAGCCATTATAGTGCGCGTTGCAGGGTCCGGGTTATTGTACAATCGCGATGTCGGGGTCCGTAATAGAAGAGCAAGTGATTGGACAAGGTCGGACGGGATATAAACGATGGCGACCGTAGTCGTATAACCAACATTAGTAGCAGTGTCGTATGGGATAAGCGACCGCACAGTAGCCTGATCAATGGGAATATCGAGGGCATAAGCAACGCCGAGGGGCAAAAAATGGAAAATTTGAGTCGTTGCTCCCGTGCTTTGGACAACAAAATCGTAGCTGAGAGATCCGTTAAAACCGAGCTGAACAGCAACGGAGTTAGGTGGGATTTTGGTATTGTCCTTTGGAGGCGAAATGATCTTGGGCCTAGATGTTGGACTCGTAGTGGCGGATGACGTTTCAGTGCCTGTAGGGGTTGGCTGCACGACGATGCTTGTGGGGATAGACATCATAGTTTCCGAATTTGTCGACAAGGACACTGTACTAGTTGTAGATGACGACGAAAGCCCCTGAGTAGGCACACCCGTACCGGCAGTGGGTGAAGTCGTAATAGTAGACATAGTGATAATCGTTCTTGACTCAGATGGAGCAGTTGGGGTGGAGCTTACACTGGAAGTGGTAGCACTTGTAGGTCTGAAAATCCCACTTCCAGAACCAGTCGCGGTCCCGTCGGATGGGAATATCCCAGAAAGGGTCGAGGACGTGGCTGTTTCCGTAGGGACGGTTTGAGTTACGGTTCCAGTTGGAGGCGTAGTCGATGAGTTTGAGGTTTCCGTAGTGCTAGGAATTTCGCCATTGCTCAGAGTGTTTATTGGTCCAGTGCCGGTGCCGCTTGGGATCTCAGTCACAGGAGGTGGAGATAAGGTCGGGAAGGTTGGTGTGATATCTATGACCGAGGTCGAAGAGGTCATGCCAGTCCGCGACGGAGTTTCATCCGAAGATGGCGATGTGACATTTGGCTGGATGATAGGAGGAATAATAGATGGAAGCACGGGTGCAGAAGTTGTCGGGAGACCAGTGCTGGAAACAGTCTGAGAAATGCCTCCTGTAGGGTTAGCGAATGTCGAGCTTGAGTCATTGCTGGGTTCAAGAATAGGAGGCAGGATGCCACCGGTGCCGGTTGGGGTTGGTTTAAGCGTAGGTTCGTGGGGTGGCGGGGTCACGCCTCCTTCTGTAGGTGCGGATGAGTCAGGCAGTTTCTGCGGAGGTTGCGTTCCAGGACCGCTGTTGGTCGCAGAGCCGGTGTTGGTTGCCGAAATAGATGGCGGTGGGAGTTAGATGGCGGAGTAGGTAGGAGGCTGGTTGGATCAACCGGTAAGCCCGTCAATATATCAGAAAGGCCGATACTAATTCCACCACTGGATATGTCGCTAGAACTTGGAATAGCAGTAACCGATGTAGACGGGCGAGGAACTTCGGATGAACCAGTTTCAACAGGAGCCTTGGGGACTGTTGAGGGGGTGGTTGGCTGAGACAGAGTAGTCGGGTCCGTGGATACAGTTATGCCCTCGCTGGTAGTGGTCGCTGGAACGGTCGTTTCCGAGGAAGTGACAGGTTGTGTCCCCAGGCTTACTAGCCGGTTCACAGGCGAGCCCAATGTTGTTTTCTTGCCATCTGGTCCGATCATGACAGTCATGGGTATAACGATAACAGAATTACGCTTAACGTATGCCGGGGAATCTCTGTGTACTTCCCGTTTGATTCGTCGTGGGAAGTAGTACTGGGGTCGTTGAGGGCCATTGTGAATATCCAATGCCTCGCATTGCTCCAGACTGGCCAGCGATACCAGAGCGACAAGAAATGTGGATAAAAGCGACCGCATTGTTATCTGCCTGTGCATGAGCGGTGAGCACCTGGATTTATTGTTGATATAGGGTGAAGGATTGATCGCACGTCACGTACTGTGTATATTCGATGTGTTAAAACGAGTGGAATCGGCGACTTCACGTCGCGAAGCGATATGGTCTGAGTTTCTTGTTAGCGAGAGGGGAAATTGGAGAGTGTGGTTGAATTTGATGAGATGGGAAAGGTCGATTCCATCTGCAGAAATATAAAGAAATCTGCCAGGCGATTGTAGGGTGATGACTCAAAGCAGCAATCATAGGGCATCCATACCTATTTCAAAAAAGAGCGTAACGGAACAAATGTCCCAGAGGATAAAGAGCGACAAGTTGGAGATAGTAATCTCTGGCTGTCGGGAAATCTGGAAGATGGGATCGAGCGGCCTTTCGATTTCTAAAAAACCAAATATTGTTATCGGACGCGCGACTTGCTAGACTGCTGGGTTCCAGAGATGCACGGGTGACGTACTGTTCAATCCGATTCGATTCGTCCCATTAGACACGCATAAGGATCATTTGTCTCATCAGGCGTATCTTCCTAGCAATGAATCCCAAAACGAATCTTGCCGACCAAAATAAAACACAGATCACCGTCGAAAGGCACGGCGGAAGTTCTGGGACGTAGTCAGTGATGTCGTGGTTGCTGTAGTTGTTTGAAACGTCTGATGGTTTGTCGCTCACAAATCTATCCAGATGTAGGGACCGAAAAATGCGCAAACCCTTCCGAGCAACCAGTATGACAGTCTTTTGTCGATGCTTGATATCCCACCGTCCCAAATTTGTCTGCCTTGACCAGTTTGACGGAATCACGGTCGGGCTTTGGCTAGGGAGCTTCGAGAAAAACGAGGGGAGCGCGTTGCCTGGATGTTCCCGGGAAAGGGGTAATTGAACGCAAACGAGTGAAAGAGAGTCAGACAGAGAGAGACAGCGAGAGAGAGAGAGAGAGACGAGGAAAAAAGACAAAGAAAACAAAAGCCGAAAAAGGAGGATGAGAGCGAGTTGGATCGCGTGGAGAGGGAGGGAGAGGAAGGGGGAGAGGAGTTGAGATGGGTGTGGAAATCGCCTGCAGTCAAGCCCTGTGTAGTTAAATAAGACCCAACGGGTTAGTCGTACAGCGTTCAGATAGTTTTGGTTAGTGAATGGCTTGCGCCAATGGGGCGGCGATTGGGGTGGGTTACGTCGGATCGCTCACGTACAGAGGCGCCCGTCTGTTTAGGTGTCGAAGAAGGCCAGCAGACGAGAGTGAGGACGACACCGACAGCAGCGTCGATGACGACGCATAAGGCGATGGAGGTTGGACTCGTCTGGATGGGCGAGAGTGAGGTTGGAGAGGAGAAGAGCGAGAGGGACGGGTGAGGTGAGGTTGAGGTGACAGCGAGACAGCAGAGGATCAAAGACCGCCTTCCCTGTCGGTACGATCAGTCCATACGAGTTTCTGCCAGAATCATACAGCCACGGTGCGGCGGGCGAGCTGGTTTCGGTATTACGCCGCGAGCACGCGTACCGCTGCGTCGAATCGAAATGCTAGTGGGTTTCAAATTGGCACCATCACGCATTACCATTGGCCCAATAATTCGAGAGAGCAGCGAGCCAAGCCGGTAACGCTGCCGTCAATACTGCAGCCCATACACGACGGACCAGCGCGATACACGACTGTTCGTCTCGAAATGGGTCGGGTAACTTTGGAAAGACGGCGGGCTCCACCGCGTATCCATTGGTTGCATCTGACGAGCCGCCAGGAACGGAGTTAAACTCGAAAGGGGCTTAGTGGGCAGCACAGAGCCAATCGTGAGACGACGGCGCCAGCAAACCCCAGCCTGAAGGTGGAGATCTGTTTGCACAAAACCACGCTAGTGGGTGCTTGGCGGTCCAGGGGTAAAAAAGCGACAAGAGACCATCATCTGATAATTCCACCCAGAATTGCAGCGTTGGTGCTTGGCGGCCAGCCATTCCACGGCTATCCACGTGTGATCCAACACAAGGCCGATTTATCAGTTCATCTTCATCGACAATAGTGTCGCGATTGCGATCAACAACTTAATGTGGCAGTTGGCCGTGTTACAGAAATGCAACTATTAGGACCAAAGCTGCCGTCCGACCACAGAGGACGTGCGCAAGGCATCGCGAAACCACAAGTCCTTTTGACGCAGAAGGCCTTCCTCTTGAAGCGCGAAATATGGAAAACGAACCTCTTTTCCTGCGGAGAATCAAAAAGAATGCTCCATGATTTGCGACTTTTTTTTCTTTTTTGACAAATATGCTTCCATCCTGGAACACCAAAAGCGCCACTCTTTTCAACAGATGGACCCCAAACCACAGTCACTGATGACAAAAGAGAATCATCAGACAATAATAATGGCCAAAGAGACCCCAAAGAAGCGACATCAACTCTCATCCTCTGTTTCCTGATAATTTGCCCCAGAAGAAGCGCGCAAAGCACAAACCACGAAGTCGGCACCTTCGATTTTAACCTTTGGAGATCGACCTAGGACGCCGAGGGCCATCCTTGTTACTGGATACCAACATGATATTCCCGCAGCACTCTGCGATCGAGGTCGTGAAATCCAGAGCATTCTTCTTGTTCTTGCTGAACTGCAAGTCTTTCCCGGCGATGACGACGACATTTGTGAGTGCAGGGCCAGGACTTGGCGACACTGTGCCCATAGTCGCATTCTTTCAATCGCGACTACGGAGCACAGAGCATTCCCATCAAGGCTGACCCTGAGTATTATTATTACGATTGTATCCAGGGGACCACCGTAGTCCGTATAGCCATACCAGAGTGTTCCCTCTTGCTCAAGAGACCGGCGAACTAGAACACGGTTGTCTGTGCTTCGCTGCCCGAACTCGCAATTTCAGCTCCCTGGACCAACTATTGCCAATGAGAACAATCCATTGAGTTTGATAATTTCCCTTTTTCCAATCCACACCAAATCGAGGGTCGACATCTGTACATGTTTCCTGGGCGGAAGAACCGAGACACAAGGCTCCGTAATGAAGCTGTCGAAACGTTCGAATGACGGAGGAAGGGTTCTCAGCAAACGCAAAAATTCATGCAAACAATCATCAGGAAAACGCGCATTATTTGTTTAGTGGAAACAGCCAATTCTGGTTGCGCTTTTTCTTGTTGCGCACGTACCAGCTCTCCGAGGTAGTTAGTGCAACCTCAACAGCGATAGCCCTGCGATGAGACGAACCGCTCACAGGACTATTACTCCAAAGACCTCGATATTTCTTGAGCAAAAACGCACCGAGGCTCGACGAAGCCACAGAGTTGTCCAGAAAATTACCAGCATGCATCCCTGCAAATATACGATGACAGCATGCAGGGAAGATGATACGCAGCAAAAAAACGGCCCATTTGTGACGCTGGGTTATGTAAGCAGAAGCGCAGAATTAGGTTTGCCCTATTCTGAAAATAATTGCGATCGACATCAATGTTTACCGAGTTTGGCCAAGCTGGGACCTGGGGCTAGAGCCCAGAAGAGCTGCGCCACCACGCCTGGTGCCTCGAATATCCAGCATCACAGTTCAACCACCATGAGAGTCGAGGGCATCTTGAACGAAAAATAATAATAATGGCAGTGGGGGACACGGCGATGAGTTTGGCTGTCAAGCCTGGTGACACGACAAGGCTACATTATTGGGAAACTAAAAATGGAGGCCGTCGATCAACGAATTGCGCTGCAGAACATGCTTCGAGAAGGAGAAGTGAGATGCATGCAAGTGGACTTCGATACGGACATCTCGATGCAGTCAGCAACATCAGCCCAGAACTCTGAGTCAATGTCAAATCCCGAAGTCATTCGAACTTCGCCTGACTCTGCAAGCTTCGAAGCGAGGCAAGTGAGCCTCCATCACATCACGAGAACAAAAAAGGAGAGACATTTCGAAGCCATCGTCGAAAATCTACTTCTTCAGAACCAAACCAAGGGCAAGAAAGTGCCAAAAAAACACCAACAATTCACACTATTTTAGCGAACCTCATCCACATGGACGTGCGTCTCCACGTTCCTGCATCTCAAGGTGGGTTCCAGAGCTCACGCGGATCATGGATGGAACAAGCCGCCGAAAAGGCTTGAGAGGCCGAAGCGAACTGGTGTTCCCGCGCCCTACAGATACCTCCTGTCAAAAGAACGGAATACTCCGCAGTCTCAAACTGGGAGGGAGCGGGGTTCAGCCGAAAAAAAAAAAAGGAGTTGAACGCCACCGAGATCTGAGCTCAACTCTTGTTTTTTTTGCCCTGGCTGGCTCAGGGGAAGCGGAGAAGATCGGACTTCCGCGGATGTGCCTGGTCCAAAAGGCTTCTCCCGCTTGGTGGTTGTCCACTACTGAGTGTCCAGAGTACGGAGTCCTCGGTACGGACGGGGCTAACTTTGGAAGCATGGAGTAACACTAATCATCAGGCTAGATAGCCGCATGAGGAGCATCTAGCTGTCTCACCCGAAAACAACTGGCGTACTTGCAGAGAACACCTGTTGATTCCCGACGAAAACTCACGAAACGTTGGCTTTGCAGGGCCTAGCGAAAGATGTATACGAATCTCCAAGATTTCTCAAAATTGGGACGTTATCTTTAGGAGAGGAGAGCTCCAATAATATTGGAGGAGCGGCGATGTCACCATGTCCTTCATACAAGGCTGGAGGAGGCGTCAGCCATGTGCACCCCAGACTATTGGAATAAATATGTATAACTAGACATCAATACACAAAAATTGATGCAGAGAAAGCCAACACCACATCGGGGCAAGCAGCAGATAATACGAAAATCAATTCAACCTACCAGCAACCTCGCCACTCGAGCAACAGGAATGCTACTCCTGTCCAACACCCACCTCAGATAAAGACAAATCCTGAACATCTCTTTTACACTGGGGTCGAAACCTGCTTTACCTGCCTTCAAGGCCGGTGAATCCTCTTGGACCCAGTCCATCCTGGCCTCCAGTCCTAAAATACTCTGCGACAACGCCAATCGCATAGAAAGTCGCCCCCGTAGCCACCCCAGTGAGCAACGCGCGGCGAAAGGCCTTGCGAAGGGAGGATAAGAATCCCCCTTTTTTCTCAACTCTTCCCTCATCACGAGGCAACGAAGCCTTGGGTTCTGCATTTGGGTCGTACGGAGACCAGTTTGGTGGCCCACCTGTGAAATGGGTCTCTTGCCGCCGAACTGTAACAGGCGTTGGCGACTGACTATGCAAGCCTGTGGATCGAAGACTGTTATCAGTACTTTCAAAGTCTTCAATTGATTCTTGTTCCTGCCGAGCAGCTTGTTTTGGGGAATGGACGGATTGTTGGGAGGGATCGGCAGCGGTATCAATCTGAGCCGCAGAGGGTTTCACGTTGGTCGAACTGGACGGCGATTTGCTCTTCTGGGCTTCAAAGTCCTGAATGGACTCCTCTTCAAGACGTGCAGCTTCTCTCGGTGAGTGCTCGGGCTGTTTGGAAGTCGCGGGTTTCTCCTGTTGACGCGTCGTGGGATTCGTTTTCGTTCCGGAGCCAGTTGTGTAGTTTTCAACCTCGTCGATAGCTTCCTCCTCCAGTTCGGCAGCTTGTCTCGGTGAATGTACAGACTCACTAGCAGAGGAACCAGGTGTATCAACCTCGTTTTTCGTGGCTACCTCAAAACCGCCTTCTCGTGTTTTCTTGAAAACGAGTACGTCACCACTTGCAGAATAAATCTCGAAGCCTTGTGCCGCCAATGCAGGGAAAAATCCGAGAAATTTAGATGGCGTGTTCAGTCGAGATAGAGCTTCAATGGGATGCAAAGGTGTGAAAGAGGGAGGGAAGGTTGACGTGATGCCGGCATCTCGGATTTGCATGTTTGAAGAGTCATACGCAAGTACTCTGTAATCTGTCAAGCTATTTGACTGGGAGTCAGTCGCACTCTTGAACGCATCTTGCAACGAGGTTTTGATAGCATCGTTGGTGCTTCTAACTTCATCCAAAGTCGCACTAGCCTTCGACAGCAGAGCGGAGATGCGCGCTTGTAAGTTTTCAATGAATTCACTCTCCTTTGATTGTTCGACACTCGTAGTAGACGAAAGGCTGCCCGTTCCAGTAACTCCAGGGGCTTCGCCCTGTGTCGTAACAATCTTACCGTAGGCGTTTTCGTAGATCGTTCGAATCTCTTTAACAAGATTTTCATCATTGTCTCGAATAGTATGATCGCTAACGGCACTGGTAACAGGAGGCGTAGCACAATGACTCGTACTGACTGTTTCACTTTGGATTCCATGTGCTTCCGATGTCCTGAGAGGTTGCGAATCAGCTTCAATATCAGCCCTTGATTCCCATGTCTGAGCTTCAAGCTCTGACTTTCGCTGCTCAAAGGCTGCGCGGACATCATTAGCACGTAATGTTTCAATATTGAGTCTTTCCGGATCGGTGTATAGAGCATTATGAGAAACAGTCGGCCCTTTGCGGAGGGCCTCCCCGGAATGGCTTTCTTCAGAGCCCGACGTATTTTCCATGGTGGATTGATGCCTGTGTGTCTCGTGTTTGGGGGAAAGATAGTCTTTAAAGTTCGCAAAAAGCGACTGAGCGGAGCGCACAGGTGAAGCAAATGCATCACTTGGTTCCTTGTCTTCAGCGTAAGAAGTACCCCTAGTCGTGAAGATTGGGCCGGTATTGTTCGTCTGTGGACCACCCATCAACCATACGCCATCTTTACTCTGTTGGCCTAAAGCTCCGTTTATGGAGTGTAAATCAGGGAGGTCATCAGTTTGGTTTCCCCGCTGCCTCATACCTATGGGCGTCTTGCTGTGATCTTGGTCCAGTGCACCGGACGGCTCAGACATTTCCATCGAGGAATGCCGTTCTTTGTTATCATTTGGCAGTTTTGACCCAGAATTCGGGCGAGGAATATCAACAACGTCATTTACCGCTGCTTCAAGGGATTCCTTGTCCAGAATGGTATTTCCAATGCTTTTTGGTATCATCCGGCCACTTACAGGGTCAAACTGAAACTTAGGCTCTTTGCGTGAATTTGAAGTTAGGTCCCTCTGCATCCGAGTCGTCCTTTTTGATGCAGTAGTATCTTCATCTGCGGAACATCTTCCAGTTGAAGCTGCACTGTTATCAATCCCAAAAATGTACCTAAAAAACGAAGAGAGACTTGCGTCCTTTGGGCCATGCGAAAAAGGACGTAACCGTCGTAGGCGTTCCCCGAAAAGCGCACCATACGGATCCGCATCGATTTGGCGTTTGAGATCTTCAAACTCTCGTTCAAAACGTTCTTGTTCAGCAGAAAAGGTTTTCTCCCATGCGGAGTGATCCCATTCCCAAGCTGACCAGCCATTAGCGAGTTTCTTCTCTTTATCGAATTTTGACGTGCCGAATCGAGGCCAGCCCCAGATGTTTCCGCCACGCGAGCGGCACCCTCCCGATCGTGGGCGCACCCCATGAGGCGCATGGTTTGCTTTCTCAATAGGTCTTTGCAATTTTGCTTCGACCCGAGAATACCAGTCACCGCCACCACCACGTTTATACCATCCTATTGTCCGCCGGTGTTTCTTGAGGGGATCGTGTCGTGCAGTGCAAGCTGGGTTGAGCACAACACGGCCATGGGATAATGCCCACAGCGGCCGGACGGTAGCATTCTGCAAGATAGGCTCAGTCGCCAACAACCCCATGATATCTTGTCAAACGCCAAAGAGGCTCTGTGAGTTAGATAGCTATCATTGAGTTCAAAGACTCGTGGCCATCCGCGGTTAAACGGCTCACATTGATGAAGCACACTCTCACGCTCTGCGTACCAGCAAAGGTTATCAATTGGACATTTTGCTTTCAAAAGGTATCGGGAGATAGATTTCACGTTCGGTAGGACTCAGCGAGGCCGCTCAGGATGGTATGATGAAGCCTGCAAGTGTGGGGAGTCTCAGAACCGACCTCATGGATGATGCTGAGGTGGAGCTGATTATGTCATTTGCCTCCGCACACAAGCGCCTTATCTTATCTCATCTTCGATCCGAATCTGGGGGAATGAAGCAGAGACCAATGGCTTTCATTAACTACGCGACTCAGGGTCTGGCCTTTGAGGAGTTTCAAAGGGAGTTTTACTTTGTCAGAATAGGTAGCACCGCTGCCTTCAACCATGCATGGTCTTAGACGAGTCGGTCATGGCACGAGAAGGCTAGCTAAGGCCACTTTTGCTATCCGATACTGTGGGCTTTAGTTTCCCCTTCATTGCCAGAGCATAAATGGTTTCTCCAGAACCGAGTGCCTTCGATTCCCTCTTCACGACAAAGAACACCTCGATCCTCGGCCATTTCAAGCTCTTCAGCGGCGACCCCGACACTCCACCCAAAGCGCTGGGCTGCCTCTTGCGCCGTCACTCCCCTGCCATAAGTTGTCCAATCCCAGTAAACCTCTACTGCAGGAGGCTGTGTCTGAAGCTCGTTGAGCCATGATTCCAACAGCCTGATGCATCTTTCGTCCGTCCAATCATGTGGTTGTACGACCAGCAACCCGCTTTTAAATCGGCGTAGACGCACAGGAAGTTTGAGCTTCTCCCATAGTTCTGTCGCCTTGTAAAAGTCAGACGGACTAATAAGTTCAACACCATTCCGCCGACGATTAAAAACAGCCCAGAGATCTATAAGGCTGATAATACCGCCTTCACGACGAAGCACACTCTCGCGATCATCCGTCAAATATTCGGCCAGATTGCGTGACAATTCAGAAAGATACAGATTTTCAGAGCTACTTCCAGCGCCAAGCATATCCTTTGTTGTTATCATCCCGAGCGCTGCAGCAGATTGCGAAATGACGGTATTAGCTTCGACCGAAGGATCATTCGATTTCGTACCGGCTTCAGCGGCGAGGGTTTCAGCCAAAGCAACAATTTCTTTAGCCGATGCCATCAATGCTTCTAAATCTTCAAAAGCACTCCCAATCACTGCTTCGTTCTTCTTTCTCGTTTGAAAACCACGACGCTCGAGCCCTGCAATCCCAACGCCGCCCAAGCGGGTTGACCCCTCCATGGTAGGACTTGAACCGCTTTCAGTGTTAGACGCAGCTTGTGATGCAGTAGATGGTGCCTGAGGAATCGGAGGGGCATCATGGAGGAGCCACTTCCTTTGGACTAGGGCGTCGTTAAGTCTCTCGTGGAAGATCTTTTCTCCACCACCGCGGAAAGAAAGTTTCATACTCTCATTTATTTCTGTATTTTCTAACTGAGAGGTAAGGAACAATGAGGCCGGCGAATCTGATCGATCGGGAGTAGCGTTGTTAAGTCGCTTCAGAGACGAACCACACATTTCGCATTCCAAAAGCGAAGGATGATTGGCAAAGGTACATCGCGGGCATGTCGTTATATGGCCTTGGTTTGCGGGTCCGGAAGACAAGTGGCCGTCGCGAATGCTGTCTAATCCAGCTGTATCAAGCCGCTGTCGAGCTGGGGTAGGTAAGGGTAACGGCGTTGTCAAGACGCCACGGTTTGCTGCCGATGCGATAGCAGCTTTGAGAATGACCGTGAGAGGCGGTTTGATCCCGCAAGCTAAGCATGGTGGAAGGGGAGTGGACGCTGTGGCAGTAGACGGATCAAAATTCGAAGGAACGGGATTAGAAAAGGTACATATTGGGCAGACCCAAGTTGCACTTGCGGATATAGGTGAAAATGCTTCTGATGACGGACTCGCAGCTCTCTGCGAGGCTGAATACGTGGGCAACGGTGCATGTGCGATCGCCCTAGCCGCACTGGGCCCTGTATGCTTTTTAAGAGTTTTTGGGTATATTGCTACCTTTGGCGATGATCTCAGGAAACCCGCCTACCTTAAAGCGTTAGAGTAAACTGATACTTATAGGAGCCGAGTATGTCGTACCTGATATTCAACCCGATCCACTTCTTTTAGGTCAATGGCTACTGAATACTTTCGAGGTTCCGAAGCACCGACATAACAGATTCGATGCGAGGTCAGATAGGCATGACCGTTTTGGTAATCGGGTATCTTGTATTTGCTAGGTACGATATATGTCGTCAACCATAAGGCCACAGACTTATTTACCTGAAAAGAACACAGCTTACCCTTCATACAGCCCTACCATGTCCTGAACAAATAGCAATGATTCATCTTGGAGCAAAGATGGGCGGAGGGCGGTTGTGAGGTCGACCGGTTTGAATAACATTTAAAAACCCTAGGACAGAAGCATGATGTTTAATTTGAGTAGCCCAAGGATAAGCAAGAAAAAGAAATAACCACCACCATCAAGCTCACTTCGTTATCATCATTGCTTGTTGAGCCCATCAAGGTATCAGCGGGATGGCGTTTACATAAGCATGCCCATTTCGTCATCTGCTTGAATCCATCACATGACATACCGCCCGCTTACCGCTAACCTAAAGAGGAATAAGCGAGGTGCCTTGGCGTTTTTTCTGCTTGCCACCTCATCCCATCGTCTCATGGACTCTCTTCCTCAACACACTTCACTCTTAACACTTCACTTTCTCATCCCATCACAACTTGGTGGATATCCATAGGATATTAAGTCTGTCGTTAATATCATGTGAATTTTCATACAATTTCTGTCAACTTATTGTGTGAATCTTGCCCAGTTGGAATCAAGGTCAACCGAATCCATTTTGCTGCAATACTTGAATTTGGCGGGTCGACCTCTTTGATTTTCACTTGACGCCCTTGACTTGGATTCGCCATGAATGCCGCTTCCCCCCCATGGCGGGCATCCGCTGCGCCACAGTACTCGTCGCCTGGTAAAGTCCATCCTCCTTCCCCCTTAAAAAAATAGATGCTAACTCCTCCAAGCGACTCCCGCCTACATTCCCGTTCAAGCCCGCCGCAGCCTAGCCTCGCAGTCGCAAGCTACCGCGGAGACAAACGCTACAGACCCTTCGATGAAACCGGCCGCCACACAGAGTGGTAAACGAGTTGAATGGCCACCTGGAGTCCGGCAATATGTACAACGAAGCTTTGTGCCAGAATACCAAATTCAGGGTATCACGCGCGAAGATATGGAGAAAAAGTTGAAGCAAATCATCACAGATGCAGCGGAAAGCAATAATTTACACAATGTTGATTGGGCCGCTCTCCCGTTACCTCAGGAAATGATCCGAGATGAGCGAAATAGAGCTTTACCGTATCCGACACGGCAACAATCAGTGGTGTTTGACAAATCTGCTACCACCCTTGCGGAGAGGCCCTTGAAAGATAAACACTCCCCAAAGAGAAGATCAGCAGAGATAAGCACGGCAACAGAGGATAGCGTGGAAAGTATTCCACCATGGAGAAGAAAAGCTAACTCCCGCACTGAGCTTGAAGATCGCATTAGTTTCACTTCACCTACTGACAAACGAAGACGGATAGATATTAATGATTATAGTAACGTTAACAGCAAAATCTCAAGTAAGTTCAACAGTGTTCTGGAAAGTCGAAAAAGACGTTTTGAGGACACAAATTCTGGCTACCAATCAACACCAAATACCCGGTCGGTGTCGCCGCCGAGGAATATAGATGAAGGACCGATCATTGGGCGATGTCAGAACTTGGAGAAAAATTATTTCCGTCTTACTGCGCCCCCGAACCCAGACACTGTGCGCCCGATGCCTGTTTTGAAGAAGACACTGGACATGTTGAAGAAAAAGTGGAAGGCAGAGAACAATTACAATTATGTTTGTGATCAGTTCAAATCCATGCGGCAAGATTTGACGGTTCAGCACATCAAGAATGAATTCACTGTCAGTGTGTACGAAATCCACGCACGAATTGCACTGGAAAAAGGAGATCTTGGTGAGTATAATCAATGCCAGACCCAATTGCTGGCATTGTACGCAATGAATCTCGGAGGACATCCAATGGAATTCAAGGCGTATCGTATTCTTTATTTCATTTATACCCGCAACCGAACTGCCATCAACAACGCGCTGGCGGATCTAACCCCGGCTGAAGCGGCAGACCCTGCTGTGAGGCATGCCTTGGATGTACGTTCCTCACTTGCGCTTGGTAACTATCATCGATATTTCCAACTTTACCTGGACACACCGAACATGGGAGCATATCTTATGGATATGTTTGTGGATCGGGAGCGTCTCAATGCTCTTGCCTGTATATGTAAAGCGTAAGTAATCCCCATTGCAATTTTCTGTTATGTGATTCTAATGTGGGGTGATAGGTACAAACCTGATGTCAATATAAGATTCATCACAGAGGAACTTGGGTTTGAGTCTGATGAACAGGCTGCTCGGTTTATTTTGGATCATGTGCCGGACGAGCTGCTTCAGGAAAAACCGGATGGCGTTAAACTGGTCACTGCAAAGGCCCAACCGTTCTTTGAGGCAGCTAGAAGCGAAGCCCACAGGATCGTCGATATCAAGGGACAAATCTAACGTTCTGTGATGTTTGGCGAGGTTCCTCTACGAGATATGAAATGCCTGATTTGTTTCGACTTACAAGATCCTACCTACGGCGTCGTAGTGATTATTCCTGTTCCAAAAGATCTTCGGTGTTTCTTGCCGTGGATTAAGTCTTGTCTTTATTTCTCCCATTTTCGTATAGCAGCCGCAGCCACGTCCGCGTCCGCCTTCGATCTATGGATTTCTTCAAGGTCTTTCCGTCCCTTGCCGTTGTGCTTTCTTGTTTGGCCGGTAAACTTCTTACCATGGTATGGAGTGGGCGACGCATCTCCTTTTTGAGTGGTGTTATGCCGCTGGTTATGATATCCTCTAGCGTACATATAGGTAGAAAATATGGAGGTTTGGAACCTTCATTGCTCTACTGGGAATGTGATTCCTAGGTCATGTTAACTTTTTTGCCCCTTTTGGGATTATTGGGGTGAATTGTTTGTCAATAGCTTGCAGTAATACCCTGTGAGATTGCTTGTTAGTAAAGTGAGTCGGGTTCTTTAGTTCTCATTTGAAGCACAGAAAACTTAAAATTGTTTTTGGAGGTCTTGGAATTTGTCATGTCGAACTGTTGTTCCTTCAAAGATCGTAGTTGTATTTTGGAATTGAACATTCGTATCCAAGGGACGTTAATTTGAAATTGGGTGAAACTGTCCAGGAGGCATCCTCAGTTGGACGGGATGAAGAAAATGTCCGGTTTGAACACAGACTTAATAGGCATACGAGTGTGCATGGGCCTTTGTTTAATTGGAATATCTTTTCTAAAGGACCTAAACGCCCAACCCTGGTTTGAAATTGGGTTTCGACTGATCGGCTTTGCGAGGCGCGCTCTTTCCATCACGGAGGTCAAGTATTTTGATGAAGAAGTATGCCAATAGTTGCGCGGGCTTTTGGGAGAACCGGTACGTTGGGCCTTGGATCCGCTGCAGCGTGGATTTTAATGGGAGGGATCCATCATTTGGAGATTATATGTGGCTTTCTCCGTCTGTTAGTTATCACTATCGGCTAGGATGGGGTGATATTCACGGGTTGAGCGTCTGGAAGCATTTCTGGCTTCCGAGTTCAGGGGGATTTGGGCTCTGGAATGGCCCGCGAGGAAAGGCATGCTGGTCATTAATTATTGAGCCGAAATGTCGCCAAAAGAGCCAACAGGGATGGTAGGGACTGAGCGTGGCGGGCTAGCCATCTCACATTGCGGCTGCACCATGATTCTCACGAGCCTTTGCTCTTTTCTTTGCTTTGTTTTCCCCCCCTCCCTTTTCGCTTCTTTCAAGCTGCATCTGCGCTTTGGCCGCGTATTCCCTCTGGCGTGGATTTTACTTTTTCTCTCCTGGGGACCGAACACCTGAAGAATCTTTTGGAGCGTTTATGCGCTAGGCTACGTCATCGTGCTTCAGGTTAGATGAAGTTTCGCAGGTTGCGAGCGGTTCATTGGGCTTCGCTTGCTGGCCGTGAAGAATTTCGAGCTGACGGGAGGTTGGAAAAGGTAGCTTACTTGGGGCATTGGGCCTTCGTTTTCAGCTCTGGGCATGCAAGGTACGACGATTCAAGGCAGATGGAGAACTCGGGCTGCGGGGCGCTGTTCGTTGGTGACGGTGGTGCTGGAGACAGAAGTGTCCGTTGGGTTGGCTGGGCGCGTAGGGCGAAGAAAGTGTGATGGAATCGTGGATGGAGTTTTAAAATATCAGGCGCGAAGGTCATGCACGACGCACAGAGTTGGGGGACCCGAGCTGGGTGGCCCTCCCGGTCCCTCTGATGTAGTTCGTTAACTATCCTCCCCAGACGAAGCAAAGGCAGTTGGTAGAACACAAGAGCAGAGAAAACAACAAACGGCGGATCAGCGAAAACTCTTTTAAGCCACCCAGATCCATTTATATATGACTTCTTTATCCCAAGCCCATTTCTTCTTTGACAGCTTCTAGACTCTTCTCCATCCTCGCCCCTCTTCAACCTTCAAAACACCATGGGATCCAGCACCATTCCCTGACTGCGTCGCCCAACCTCGCATCCAGCCCTGGACGATGAGATTTGCTCGTATCGCGATCGAAACTCAATTCACTTCCCGTTGAGGCTTTCCCTTCGAATTCACTGAATTCGCGGCCCTGCGCGCTGATCTCCCAGGCCTGCCGCTAGCAAACAGCCCTTTTCCGCGTCTCAACGGGTGTGTTCGCCGTTGGAATTTAAACTGACATCCTATCCACCCCCCGTTGCACTCAGACCGTTTCTGTACCTGCGCACCGTTCTGTGGGTTCGGGAGGAATAACAATCGATCGAAGTGCTCGATCTCGCTCTGTCTGCTCAATCCACCCGGCCACAGGGATCTCCCCGTTTCTCGTCCCAGGGCCCCGACATCGCAATTTGCTCTCTTGATCCCAGCCTGGCTGGACTGACCTCCAGCTTCTCAATCCCTCCCCGCTGGTCGCTTAGTCTGATTGGCATTTTATGATTACTGACTGCCTTGCCGAGTCTATCTCTCTCCCTATCTCTTCCTCTTCTCTCCTCGAAATTTACGTGGTTCTAAAACTGGTTTCACTTGGGAATTAATAAAGAACTAGAGCTCGCTGAATCAAAAGGGCTGCGAACTCGTCGCACGTCGATCAACTATGAAGGTATGTCTCGGAATGTTTCCCAGTCCCGTTTCCCGCCCTTCGCCTGTTGAGTTGCGATGAGGTGGAAAAGACAGACAGGATGCCTCCCTGTCGTTGTAAATGTCCTGCCCCGTTCAAGGATCGTTTGGGTTTCAGCTAATTCGTTCCGTCGCGCTGGTTAAAATCGCTCCCAGGCCATCAGGCGTTCACTCAAGGGCGACAAAGACCAGAAGCCACAGCATGTCTCCATCACGCCCAAGTCCGCCATCGCGATCCTGCCGCCAAAGAAAGTGAGTTGCCGTCGCTCTCCCTTCGCTGATTGCCTGCGAGGTTCCCCCTTGCAAATGCCCAGTAGGCTAACCCACTTTCCTCTGCCTCGCACCCCCACAGGTAATCAGGGCCTTGTTCGATTACACTCCCGATCCCGCCAACACACACGAGCTTGCCTTTAGCAAAGGCGACTTCTTCCACGTTATCAGCAGAGAAGACGACTCTGATTGGTACGAAGCCTGCAATCCGCTCTCGTCCAGCGCCCGTGGTCTAGTCCCCGTTTCGTTTTTCGAGGTCATTGGCAAAACCGAACGAAACAGCGGTGGCTCGGTGGGAGGACTGCCTGAAGAGCGCCCAGAATTTCACAACGCGGAATCCTTTGAGCGCAGCAGTCCACCCGCGACCGCGATCACGACAACATCCGAATCAGCGACGACCAACACTACCAAGCAGGGTGCGCGCGCCAGAATGTCGTCGATTGGCAAGACCGTGGGCGCAATGGTCTACGGCGTGGTGCAGTATGACTTCCACGCTGAACGGCCCGATGAATTAGAGGCCAGGGCCGGAGAGGCGATCATTGTCATTGCCCAGTCGAACCCGGAGTGGTTTGTTGCGAAACCAATTGGCCGTCTGGGTGGCCCGGGCCTCATTCCGGTTTCTTTCATCGAAGTTAGAGACATGACGACGGGCCAGCCTGTGTCTGATCCACACGAAGCCGTCAAGCGCGCAGGAGTGCCGCGGGTTGAGGAGTGGAAAAAGATGACCGCTGAATATAAGAATAGCTCCATCACGCTGGGGAAATTTGAAGCCGGCGGTGTTCAGTCGGCCGCGGCAGAAATTGAAAAGATGAGTCTGAACAACAGCGGGCTGCATAACAGCAATGACTATGTGAGTACATAACATTAATCCGCACCTTGAACCTGAAAAAAGAGGTCGACGGGCTTTCGTCTAATCTTCACGGCTTCGTCCGCGTACAGTATCATCAACGAAACTCGAGTAAAAGTCAAAGGTTCCCGTCCAGCCAGCAGCTGCCATTTTTCCAGGCTCCCTTTGACAGACTTGGGATCAGGGGCTGCTCAAGACGGTGCAAAAATCATCGCACGTTCTCAGGCACAACTTGAACGTCTCCGAGCCAGTCCAGCCAACCGCACTGGGGGCGCGTTTTGGCAAAAACACGGCTTCGCCGAAT